AAGGACATCAGTCCTCAGAGCTGAAGAGCTAGGGGAGCACAAAAAGTAGGGACACTGGGTGGGGTGTAGCACTGTAAAAGGAGACCTGCAGTTGTTCAGGAGACTTGCAGAACTGATGGGTGCTCAGGCTTTCCTGGGGCAGTCTCACTGGATCTGCCACTCTTAGGTGGGAATGAAGAGAACAGCTGGTTTGGGTATTGAATATACTTAAAATATGCTTGTCTCTGCTTCTTTTGTGTACTGCTGGAGTTGTGTTCTGTTCGGAAGGTAAGCCGCTCTTTCCCGTTCTTAGCGTCTTCGGTTGCGCGTGTTTGGGATCTGCTGTGTGGTGGAAACGGTGTGTTCCCCCAGCCCTGTGGCTCAGAACATACCTGCCATTGGCATTCTGAGGGCTGCTTCTGTTGTTTAGTTGGAAACAGACCTAAATATCTTTCTGTAAGTGTTTTCGCTGTGGCTAAAGCAGAAAAGTGGTTTAGTGAACAATTCTGGTTTTAAGACCATTTCCTTGAAAATTTCTCCCAGGCAGCCGTGATTAAAATACATTGTGTCCCTCTGCCTTTCTGTGCTACATGCAAAGAGGGGAAAAAAAGTGTTTAGGATGGTTCTAAAGCTGCAGACTGACGGCTTTTTCTTGTTTTTAAAAAAGCTACTTTAGATTCTTGGTCATTTCTTTTGACACTTCCTTGTCCCACCTCTTCCTGCCTTGCTTGAAACAGGACCAGAACAATAAAAACAAAAGCTTTTGGTTTCCTGACCTTACAATCTCAGAATGCAGATGGCCTTAGCTGTTTGTCTGTGGTGCTTTAAATTCATTGTTGCGGCAGTTGAAACTATTCCAGTGTGTGTGTGGCAATTTGTTTTATCAGCCAGATGAATGCTGGAACTGAAGTGATGAATGGATGTCTATTAACTCCTAGGTTTTCATTCCCCGTAGAGGGCTTGGAAGAGGTTGTGCTATCGAAACAGTGAATGATCAAGAGATTATTTCTGTCCAGTGGAACTTATGCTAAATTTCCAGTTAGTGAACTCCTGTGTTTTTATCTCAGTTCACGTTGAGTTCTCTGTGTTACAGTTTTTGAAGCATTCTCGAATTTAGGAAAGCAGAAGAAAATTTGAAAACAACAGGGCCTTTTGCAGTCAGCAGGTTGGGGTTAACACTCTTTGTCCTCCTCACCTTTTCAGTCTGCAGTAGGAAGAATTGTATTACCTATTGAATGTTGAACTATATGTTGAAAGGAATTTGTTTTCCTGAGGTTGGGATAAGGGATTGTTACAAGCAAGTTTGAGTTCCCTAGATGACCCACAGGAAAATAATATATTTAATCAATAAATATTAATTTTAATAAATAATAAATTTTATCACTGGTTATTTTGTTCATCTTTCCTCTACTTCCTTTAAAGAAAGTCCTTCAGCTTTTCCAGCCCAGGGATGGCCCCCCAACATGCATTTCAGTTGTCCTTAAGATCCACACCTGAGCAGAGGGCAGCGTGTCTGTATTGCATATTTGCCCCTTTGTTTTAGAAAGGCAGACAGGAGATTTGCTTTCCCCTTGAGCTCTTCTGTCAAGGAAAGTGGAACAGTAACTTGTCTAAGGAAGGTTTCTGGGGAAGTCCCAGCTGTGAAAATCATAGGTGGTAGATCTGCTGCCAAGCCAGGGAATGATGGCCTTATTGACAAGTGATTGGCGCCCCGGATTCTGGTTGCTTAAACAGCAATGCTGCAGTAAAATGAAAGCGATTCTGAAGTTTTTCTCATATGTATAACTTGATCTGCTTTAAAACGTGTGAAAATCCCAGTTCCAGCGACTAATTAAGTGGTCTAACCACCACTTCAGCTTACCCTATGCCAGGTGGTCTTGCCAGCAGAGGGAAGGGGGGTTAGGCGTGCAGGACAGAGGGTTTGTGTGTTTCAGGATAAAAGGGAAGAACTCTTCTTTGTGTATATTCAGGCAAGAGATTTGCTGGAGAAGGGAGTCCTCTCTAATGAGAAATACGTGCAGTTCTGCTTAAGGAGGGGGAACAGGAAGGAAGGAAGCAAGTCATAATCTGAAAGCATTTGTCTATTGATGGAGTGGCTGTTTGCTTACAGATTTGGCAGCTGCAGCTTTTCTTGAATAGTGTTTTTTTTATTCCAAGAATTCTTGCTTAATGAATTTCGTATCTTAATCTGCCAAACTTTGGATGTTTATTTCCTACATTGTAGAGAGGTGCCTTTTTTTTCAGTTATACATGGTTTAATATTTGTTAAAGAAGTAATCAGAAATTTTCGGTTTTATTTAAAAATAATCTTTGATTAATCCTTAGCGTATTAATAGCTCTCTGGGTATGTAGTGAAAGAACTTTTTATTTACCATTAGAATATGGTGTTTTGAAAAATCAGAATGGTATTGCTCTCCAGAAGGTTTGGTCTGGGGGCTTTGCTGGTTTTATTTTTTAATTGTATGTTTTTAAAGGGTGGATAGAATCAACAGATTGCCATCTCATTTGACATGCAGGATGCTCCACCGTATAACTTCATTAACTGGTTATCTCATTTTTGCTCTTAAGGCTTGGAAGTATTTGACCATTTCCATTAGCAAGTTAATATATGGCAAGTCTTATTTTTAACAGAACTCTTTTACCTTTAATTTTAAGATGCTGATTCTTGGCTTGACTATCTTTCCATGTCTGTGTGGTCAGCTGCTGGTCATCTGTCAGTTTGTCTAATCAAGAAGTCCTCAAACCTCTCAGTGTATGTTTCATCTCTTCTACCTCTCCCAGGTTCCTCTCCTGTGGATTCCAGAAGTGTGCATAGTTTTGCCAGCCAACTATTTTCATTTAAACTTGTTTGTTAAACATAATTATTTACCTTAATATCTGTAGCCTTATTGTGTGTACTAAGGACAATTTTTGGCTGAACTGGGAATCCTACTGCTGTTTATGACATTAGCTGCTGGTTTTAGATTAACATGATTCTACATGTTAATTGTATTTTTGGAACCAAGAGTGATTTAGTTAATTCTCGTTTCTGTAACTTTTTCCTCTGTATGCTCTGACAGCAAAGTCCTATCCATTGGTGTGGATAGTTTCATGCAGAGGCACGTGAGTGTTGGGAGGAGATGGTGCATAGATCAGCATCCATTCAGTGCTCATGAGTTGTGTTTAATCAGAAGAGAAGAGCAGCATCACACATTGTGCAGTATTAATCATCTTAATTAGAAGGTCTTCAGGTCACACGTGTTGTTTTCAAAATGTGCACAGCCTTGCACAGAGGTGAACATAGCAGTTGTGGTGTGTGGTTTCCAAGCTCAGGAGAAAATTTGACCTGCAGATATTTTCTCCCTTACATGTATGTGGATGTAAAAAAAGCAACCCCAGGAACGGAACAGCTTAGTAAATGTCTGAGGTTTTTCCTCAGTTATCTAAAAGTTGACGTGACATTATCTGCACAGATGTAAATATATAAAATACGTGTGTTAAATTGCCTGGTTTATTTGTCAAAGCTTTTCTTACCATGGACTGTCTGTACTTGAGTGTACGTTCGTGTCAGTAAGTAGAGATGTGACATTATGTCCATTTTTCTTTCTGAGAAATTGGATTATTTTTTATACAAATGCTGATTTTCATTGCTCATGGTGGTCTTTAATTACTGCATGAATGCTGTTATCTTTTGTCTTTGGCTCTGCTCTTTCATAAGATGGTTATACTTCAGTCAAGTTGTATCCTGTTTTTTTCCCAGCTGTCCCTCTCTCTGTACGTGTTTCAGATTTTTCTCTCTGAACAATGACATTGTTGAACAGAGTAATAAATGATGTAGCTGAGGGATTTTTCAGACAAACAGGAAAAACCCAACCCCTCCTTCAAATTCAGTTATAAAACCCAGAGAATTAGTAAAATAGTTGTGAATATTTTGGGTATTGAGAGACCTGTCCTAGGTCCTGATTTGGAGTAAGTTCCCTGTTTGAGGTAATATTTAAGGTTTAGTTTAAACAAAATCCAGAGTTACGTGACTTTTCAACTGTCAAAGGATTTCTTAAGCATTCAATGAAACCAAAGTGTTGTTTAGTGTGATATGTTTGTTAGGTTCTGTATTGTGGAGAGCCAGTGCTTTAACTCTCTCTGTGTATGGCCACTTTGTGGAAGGACCTGTTGTACCAAATAAAGATTCTAACTTGGCTTAGGGACTGAACTTTAAATATTACTGCAGAAGTACAGAACAAACCCAGCCAATTCTGAAATCAGTTTCTATTGCTATGTAATTGCTGCATGTAAGAAGACAAGTGAGGAGTTGCAGTGTGTTTTCTCTTTTGCAGGTGTTGCTGGAATAGTTTCATTTGTTTAAAGCATATAATTTCATGCAATTGTGCCTGCTTGTTAGTGCAGCTGTCAACAACTGCATGCTCATTGAGCTAATTGCATTCTAGTAATGTAGCTAAGCTTATTTTAAGATATGCAGTTGTGTGCCTTTTTCTTTTTTTAAAGCAGCTATGCACACTCAGAAGGTTTCCTGGAGAAAGTTCTCTGCTCTCACAAGGAGCCATCATTGCTCTAGAGGAAACTGAAGAGCTCTCGGACAAGACTGTATCAGCCAGTCTAGTGTGCCTGGATAGGATCTGTGAAAAGTTGGACCATGGCACTACATTCATACAGTTCTAAAGGCCCTGAACTGGTCTTGTCCTCAGGGCTACTCTCGTCGTCTGCTCTTTGGGAATATTTTATATTTAACATGTAAAACTTTGAATTTCGCAAGCAACTATTTCCTATTGCTGCACTGGTGTTCTGGTTGTGTGTACAGGAGTGATGAGCTTCTGTTACATACTGATCATCTCCTTCAAGAAATATGCATACAAAATGAGGAATGTGTCCAAGCTGTATATGTATGCAAAGCATATAAGGAGAGTAGACTATTGTGCATGCTAATTCTGGATGCTTGTATGGTTTTTACTGGTATGTGTTAGTGATGTGATTGCAGTCACCAGTATAAAATGTATAATGCAGTGTTGTTTTTATTTGTTATATAGCTTTATGCCAGTATATACAGGCTTCTAAAACCCGAGATGGTGGCAGCCGTTTCATTTCCGGTGCAACAGAAGGTAAAGGAAAAAGTTTGGGGGAAAAAAAAGAGCACAGTTCTTTGTTTAGCTGATACTCTATTGTTCATGTGGTCCTTGACCGTTTAACCTTCTAGACTCTCTTCACAGCTAACTTCTTGCAATAGATGGTGAATATCTTTTTTTCCTAAGTCTTGAAAATAAAATGAAGTGATGTCATGGTGTCACTTGTATGTCTACCTTGAAGTTGCATCGCCTCTGCATCTTGTCTATTTGTGCTTTTCTTCAGTAACAAATTTCCACTGAACCTGAAGCTTTAGCTCTTTTCTATTGAGAATCTGAAGTATCTGAAGAGTAGCTTAGAGAACTGCTGTCATGACCACAATCTCAAGATAGTCACACTTAAGGAAAAGCACAGATACTTAAGACACAGAAATGTTAACAATGCTAATCCTTGCTAATATCTGCACCCTGACTTTATGCTAACGAACTGTCTTGCATTTTCTGTTTCTCTTAAAAGGAGTGTGTCCTTAATTCATTATCCTTGCATCTACCTGCTGGTGTCCTGCTTTTTGGCCTTGTTTGAGCTTAAAAAGAGAATGAAATATATACTTTTGTATTTTTCTTTCGTCTGCAGGGGAAAACTTTGAACAGACTCCATTAAGACGCACATTTAAATCCAAAGTTCTTGCTCGCTATCCTGAGAATGTTGAGTGGAACCCTTTTGACCAGGATGCAGTGGGAATGGTCAGTATCACTTAATGGCTTTTGCTTTTAAGGCAAAAAGCTACTTCAGCAATTGAAGGCATTCATCTGTGGTTTGTTTTTGTCAAAAAATGTGTGAAGGTTGGAAATAATAATTAGTTTCCCTCAATTGTGCAGACTCAAAAGTCCTTTTCATTTAATTAAGGTATATTTTGAGGGAAATTAAGTCATAAATCCCTAGGAGAGCTTTTTTGCTCTTGTACAACTCCTTTTGTTATAGTCTAGAGAACTGGTAGGGGAATAAATTAGTCTGCAAATAATTATTTTTTTTGTTTGTGCATGATTTTTCTGCTTAATAGAATGCAGTGTGGTTTCTTAATTTAGACAAAATCTAGTGCTTTCCTCTGTCAGGTTCAGGTCTTGGTGACTAAAATACTTCCCTTTGTCTGAGTTTGAATTTTGGTATTTTGTTCCCATGCAGGCTGGTAACAAAATGGTTCTGAGTTTCAACAGAAACTGCATGCAGCCCTTTGGATACGTTCCTTTGGTTTTTAGATTAAGATTCGTATTACTGTATTGTACAGAGATCTAACACCTAATAGAAGTTAGAGTGAAATGTGGTGTCAGTTTGTGGATTCTAAATCCCATTTTCACCAATGCTTCTGGAGGCAGGGGGAGAGAAAAGTGTGTTTTAATGGATATTCTCTTCCCTTTTTTATCCCTTCCCTTTATATTATCCCTTCCCCCTTTTGAATAGCTGTGTATGCCTAAAGGGCTTGCTTTCAAGACACAAGCAGATTCCAGAGAACCTCAGTTCCACTCTTTCATTATTACTCGGGAAGATGGCTCACGGACATTCGGATTTTCTCTCACGTTTTTTGAGGAAGTGACTAGCAAACAGATCTGCAGTGCAATGCAGACATTGTATCATATGCACAATGCTGAGTATGACATTCTTCATACTCCACCCACAAATGACAAGGATAGCTGCAGCAGCACTGGAGACTGCAATGGCACCTCTGTTTCAAAGCTACAGCGTTTTAACTCCTATGACATCAGCAGAGATACACTCTATGTCTCAAAGTGCATTTGTCTGATTACTCCCATGTCTTTTATGAAGGCTTGTAAGAAAGTACTAGAACAACTTCACCAAGCAGTGACTTCACCTCAGCCGCCGCCGCTACCTTTAGAAAGCTACATCTACAATATTCTGTATGAGGTTCCCCTTCCTCCAGCAGGAAGGTCACTAAAATTTTCAGGTGTTTATGGACCAATTATCTGCCAGAGGCCAAGCACCAGCGAGCTACCATTGTTTGATTTTCCAGTTAAAGAAGTTTTTGAATTGCTTGGAGTAGAAAATGTGGTTCAGCTCTTCACCTGTGCCCTTTTGGAGTTTCAGATACTGCTTTATTCACAGCGTGAGTACTTGGGTTTTGTTTTCTTTTCTTGTAGTTGTACTGGCACAAGGTCTTTTCGTTTCTTGAATTCTAAACACCACACAAACAGCAGAACAGCTGCATTAGAAGTGGCATGAGCATGTGCTAATGCAGTCAGGGTGATCCGTGTGCAGGTTTCACTGTAAAGAACAGAACTGGAGTCGCAAAGAGATGTTGCATTGACTCCCGTTGTTGGACACCTAAACTTACAACTTTGGGCTTTCACACGATCCCCTGTATTCTTGGATTGACTGTCCTCTTTGCCGTTGCCTCTGGAACTGTGCTATTGGATAGAGCAGTATACCTTCTTCTGTGTTCCTCTCCAGCTGCTTAGCTGAATTCCCTCATATCTCTGTGGAATTACCCATGCATTTCCCGAAGATACGTAGTTAATTATATACATGGCTCTGAAGAAGAGTTAATGATGCAAATACAATTTTCTGTTTCAGTACCCAAAGCCACCTCTGCTTGTTACTTTGAAAGATAATTACCTGGAAAAAGTTTTATTCGACTGAGTTTAAATCCCAAAACTCTGATAAGGCCTTGAAACAGTTATTGCTGAAGCCATATAGCTAAAGCTTTCTTTGAAGAGGATAGTCAGCAGCTAAGCTGAAATAGCATGTTTATCAATTAGTAAGTAGTGTGGGAGTGGTATCCAGTTTCTGTGTTGAAATTTGTGGATACTGGCCTTCTTGTTGCTCTGCCACAGAGTATGTGGAGTTAGGCCAAAAGATAATTTTTCTACTTTCTTTGTTTTTGTCCCAGACTGGCTAGCATCAGTCCAGACCCAGCCATCCATAATGATGTGGTTTCAAGCAGACACACTGCATTTTGAATGTTGTTTTATAGTAGTGGTAAAGAAGCCTAAAAGACAAAGCCAGGGGTAGTCCATGGTGTTACTGAAATATGTTTTTGATGTTCTCTTCCATTGAACTTTCACTGAAATATGTAGAATGCAAATAATAACTATTTATAAAATATAACCTGCAGTTACTAGCAGCCTTCTCTAAGCATGAATTACAGATGCTTGTGTTGAGATCTGTGCACAGAAGCCAAAGATGGATTTGTGTATACAGCTGAGGTGATTGCACGTGTATAATGGCAGGGTTGTATAAACACTGTGAACTACAGGAGGGAAGACTGCACAGTAATTCAGATATAGCAAAAAAACTTATGAACTTGGCAGTGGTTACTCTCTTGGATTTAAAAAACAAATTGATTTGCTGATTGTTCATAGCAAATTTAGAAATACTTGTGTAGCAGACAGATGTCTTCTGTGGTTTCTCCAGAAATGGATTCTGCATTTCTGTTTGAGATGCAGGGGGAGGGAGAGTTTGTTTATGCGGGTGTTGGGAAGGGTGGAAGTTCCGCGCGGGGCAGCAAGCGGCCGACTCAGTGTGAGTGATACAGCAAGCTTCAACTTTACTGTCCGACAGGCTCTTTGTTATACAGTGCAGGCCAGGCATATAACTATCAATCATTTGTAAGTGGCTAAGCTCTAAAGATAGCATTCAGGTACTCTCCCTACTTGTGGTTACAGCTGTGAGGATCCTTTCTTACTTTCCCAGGCTTGGCTGCATTCCTAGCTGTTTGTCTCAAACTTGTTTGCCTCACCCTCAAGGACAACTTGCCCCTACCATCTGCCCAGCTGAGTTACTCCCTATCTATATCTAAGTTACTATCTCCAGAGCCTTGCTTGTACACTGCATTCCCAGGTGTGTTCCCAGGGGACTGTGTCCTTGTTCTTTTTAGCCTTCCCCAGGTGCATTCCCAGGATTATGTCCCCGCTCTCTTAGCCGTTCTCCAACATGTGGGTACTCGTCTCCCACCAGTGGCTGACTCAAACATCAGCTCTTCCATCTGAAGAAGTGTGTTGTCCCACTGAGAGCTCCTGTGGAATTGTATGTTGCCTGGCCAGTTGGAAGCACTGCAAGGAAAGGGGTGTGTGAGTGCTCTGTTCTCCCAGGCTGGAGCTCAGCTTGCTTCTGGACTAGTCTTCTGTATTCTGGGTTGTCTTCCTAAGTCATATTAATAGGTTCAGCTTTTTGTCTTGGGCCCTTCCCAAGTGTCTGATCAGTGGCTAATTAAAGAAGCTTAAAATAGCTCTGGAACACTTGAGTCTCCTGTTTGCAGGGACAGACGTTTGAAGTTCAAAGGGATCTGTGAATCAGTTATGACAGTTTCTGTCCACTGTTCCCAAGCCTCACCCCAGGCTTTGGCTGAGTTGGGCTGTCTTGTACCTTATGGAAGTGTCTTGTCTGTCAAGTTCTCATCTGTAGTTTTTGGATGAAAAGTGTTCTTTCAGTAGAGAAAGACTTTAGTTAGTTATTTGCTGACTTTTGACCCTCAGTTTCAGTGAACTGACTGTGGCAGTGCCTTCTCAGCAAGAGTCGTAGAATGGCCTGGGTTGGAAGGGACCTTAAAGATCATCTAGTTTCATCCTCCCTGCTGTGACCAGATTATTCTGTGGGAGCTGGTTTGCATTCCTGAAGTTTATCTTGATCTTGTGAAATAGACTTATTCCTTATCTCAGAGAGCACCTAGAGCCCTTCTGAAAAGTGTGCACTGGGTTAAGACAGCTGTGAAATCTGCTTGGAGGTGATTTTTCTAAGCAGCTTAAAACAAAAAAAAATGGGAAAATATAATGTGCTACTGGGACAGACTGGTCTCGAACAGTTTTATTTGCTGCGTGTTTGCTGTCTGCTGCCATTTTAAAGTACAAATAAAGGGTGTTTTTCTTCTTTGCACCTCTCCGTCTTTGTTTTACTTGCTTAAAATTATGTTAATTCTGAAGATTTAAAGTATTAGTTTAATTTCTTTGCAGCATTAGTCCTGTGTTGCCTAAGTCTTGTCTCTTGTATAGGACACTTATGCCTCCAGTGAATTAGGAAACCTGCTGCTTGTTCAGGCATCTTGAGTCACCCTGTCAGACACAGAAGTTAACACTAATAGGAAGTACTTTGACCCACTGCTTCTGCAAACTACAGTTGGTTCTTACTACAGTTACGGGTTTTTTGAAGTAAAAGGCCCAATTAAAGAAATGTGTGTTTTCTCACAAGGGTCTGGTATACTGAATACTTGTGCTCAGAAAAATTTGCTGAGAGATGCTTCATTTACACAGTGCTTTGTGCCATGAGCTGGTATGTCCAAAGCAAACTCTCCAGGCAAGGCATTGTTCTGATGGCTCACCCACACGGCATGCTCCTAGTCCCTAGGGGCTGTGGATACAGTTTGTGTCCCCTTCTGTTCCTCTTCAGGTTAAACATAACCTTCATCCTGGCAATTAGCTCATCTTTCTAGTTTATCCTTGTACTTTCTGAAGATAGTCAAACTCATCTGTAGGAATGGCCCAGCACTGTAGGGGCAAATCTGCCTTAAAGCAGTAATGTGAGAGTTGCATGTGGGGTGGGAGTTGCTTGAGAAATACAGTAGTGTTTCATTGCAATCCATGAAGTAGGAAGATTAAAAGGAAAAAATATTCCTGAATGTGATCATGTAATGGTTCTAAATTTGGCCATGTCAGAGAATTTTTGTCGGCACTCAACAGATGTCTTTCTGGTAGCATGTGAAAATGGAGAGGTGGAATCATGGTTCCTCTTTCTCCAGACCCAAGACCTCTCAATTCTTTTTCCTGGATTTACTTGCATTTTAAAGATCAACGGAAATGTCTATAATACTAATAAAGATAAATACTAGTGTAAGTAACTTCTTACGCGACACTTTGAGAGAATGTATTTTATCCATAGTAATTGGCTAGAATAACAAATCAGCTCTTTTCTGTGTTCTCAAGTGACCACGTTAAAAAGCAGCAGATTTTCTTTTCTGTGCATAGTAATCAGTTAAGCACTTTCCAAAGTAATAGTGCCCTAGTGGTATGTCATTATTTCCCTAGCCGTGCTTTTGTACAATACAAGGCCAAAAGACACTGTCATTGGCTCCAGAATAAGCATATTCTGATGTCAGGGATACTGAAATGCTTCTTCATTCTTTTAATTCTTTTGTTGTTATTATTTTGAAATCTTCTGTACTGCTTTGGTACTCGAAGTGTGCTGCTTGCTTCTTTAACCCTTCAGAATCCTCCATACCCGCTCAGGGTGGGAACTTAAGAGAGTATTGAAGTTATTTTGGTGTATGCTTGCAGGCTTCTTGCCTTTGTCCTTGCCTTTTGCCAGCAGCTCCTGATGTGCACAGAGCCTGCAGAATAGAGTCGTTGCTGCTCGCAGGCTGTGACTGTGCAGGCCCAACAGCTGGGGCCGCGTGGATACCCAGGCTCAGAGAGCTGCCCTTGCAGATAGCTTGGTGGCAGGAGGTGGCTGCCCAGTGGAGAGACATTCTGAATTACTGGTGTTACTTTGTAATGGATTGGAAAGGCTAATACTAAAGTTAGCTTAGTGATGGAGGGAGAAGCTGTATTTAAATTAGCCAGCAGGATTAGACAGGGGGCTTTGTATAGTAGGAAAGCACTGTGTCTATTCTGAGACTTGTTCTTTCAAATAAACAAGCTGAACGCAAGCCAGCTGGAATGTTTGTGTATCTATGGATACATTTAAAGTTCCTTTTAAAGCTGAAGAAAATACGGTATGGAATAGATGATTCTTCTTTGCAAAATTTAGCACTAATCCCTCACTTATTTGCAATCAGGCTGTGATTAAAGCTGCAAACCTGCAAGTAGTTGTGTAGGCAGAAGCTGGTGTCCAGGCAGAAGAGGAGAGTATTGCTGCTGATGTTCCTTGATTGTCCCCTCACATATTTCTGTCCAAATAAACTTTTGGCAAAACCTGTTTAAGCTGTTCTCATGTGTTTTGAGTGAAGGCTCCTTTGGTCATAGTAGATCTGCTGTGAGGCAGTGACAGGTAGCTCTGTGCAATGAACTTTTCCACCAGCACAGCTTGATCTGAAAAGAAAAAGATCAAACACTTAGGTTGCAGAATTGCAAGTGATGTTACCAAAACCCGCACTGAGTTCCTCTTGGGTGGTGGGACTCTGCAGACCCCAAACTCTGCAACTTTGTCCTCTGACAAAATTAATGTTGAATGCCAGGGACTGAATTTCTTAGCCCTTTGTCTTCTGCTCTCTGAAGTCTGAGTGGAGGTTGGCTAAAGGATAGAGTCAAAGCCCTAACCTCAGGAAGTGCACAGTTAAGTGTAATTTTCTGCTAGAGTTAAGAACAAATGCTGTTCTTGCAGTTTTCATCTGCCCTGTGCAACAGCTTTAGAAACCTCAACACCCAAACCTGTGCATTCAAGTGTCTTTTCCAGTTTCACGGTGTCTGTAGTTTGCAGCTGTAGTTTTATGAACATGTGAGAAGACATGCATATCCCACACCCCAGCACACATACAAAGGTTACTGGTTTTTTCCTTCCCTCCTGTTCCCTGCTCTTTCTTGGCTGGAATTGAACGTTGTTGCAGTATCATGGAAAAGGCATCCTTTGTTTCCAGTTTGTGCTGCATTTATAGTTTGACTGATGATAGGAATTGTCCTTTGTGTGAGTTTGTTTTATACTCTTTCCAGCCTGGCAGCTCAAAAGCAGTCTGCATGTTTCAGCATCTGTATAGAACACACTCTGACTTCATCTGATGTGGCCTTCTCCTTTATGGTGCATAGATATCAAACCCCCTTAGAGATGATTCTGTAGTTGTAAAAGAGGAGGGTGAGGCGTTGTCGCAGCATACTTGCAGTGTGAACTGCTCCAGCCACCAGCTGCTAAATAAAAAGGTCTTTTTGCATGTTGCACAGGTATACTGAGCACTGCTGTTAAATTCTAGGAGGAGATGGGTTGTTTGTACATTGAACTGAGGCTTTGCTCATACATTGCCAAGGCTAAATGAAGCTGATTCTTTTTATTTTCTGCATAGCTATTTCAGTCACATGGTTGGGTTGGCTACTATACAGCATGCTTTATAGACATTTAAACACTCTTTTAAAAATGTTTATCTCAGAGATACCAGATGCCTTGGGTTTCATCCAAGGCTTCCACAGAAGGCCGTAAGCACAGAGAAGAGGAATTATTTGCTATGTATTTCTTCGCTGATTACAATATTGCTTCTGTGCTTAAACTCCTGTTCCTGGTGACCCTGGGATAGGTAGCAGACAGTAACTTAGCATGCATTAAGCCTCAGTTTGCTCATTTCCATATGACTTGTAGAATGACCTACTTTGTGTTGAGCTCTCTGTTGTTTCAGCAAAATGTGCTGGGTGTGCAGCTCTGGGCTTTCATTATGATGCCACTCAGCTAGTACTGGGTTTTGTGGTTTCTGTTTTCAAGCAAGGTCTCATTTCTTTAACTTAAATTAATGTACTTAAAAATACTTGTGAAAAAAATCTTTTCTTCATCTTTTTCAGATTATCAGAGACTGATGACTGTGGCAGAGACCATCACAGCACTAATGTTTCCATTTCAGTGGCAGCATGTGTATGTTCCTATCCTTCCTGCATCCCTCCTTCATTTTCTAGATGCTCCTGTCCCTTACCTCATGGGCTTGCACTCTAATGGACTGGATGACAGGTCTAAGCTGGAACTTCCTCAGGAGGTGAGAGGAGCTTGTCTTGTTTGATTAAATGTTGTCTGTGACTATGAGGGAAGTGAGAAATGAGCTAAAACATTAGTGCTTACTCTTAACAGCCATTGTCAAATTCTTGCTGGCTCTGATTTTGAATTAGTCTTTATTTCTTGGAGATGCTGAGGAAAATCTGGTGAAATAGGTAAAGCTCTGCTTTTGAAATTGGATGCTCTGATAAAATTAAACTGAAAGTTTACAGGATTTGATGCATCGGGGTTACATAAAGAACATTTTTTGTGCTGCAAAACTTAGCCCTGTAATGCCAGAAGTGCAGTGTGAATTCCCCAGCTGTGCTAGTTCCTGGCTGTGTGGGATTGGGCTGGGTGTCCCTGCACTGACCTTCTGCTTTGGGCTTGGCTTCCATGGACACAACCTGCCAGGTGTCTGCACAAAACTATTTCAGGTTTTCTCCTAGAGTGCATGCTTCAGTCCTGCAGCAAAATGTCAGTGGGGTTCAGTAAACTGGTGCTGATCGGGGTGGTTCTGAGGAAGTCCTCCCTTGTAGGGAGGCTCTGTTAGCAGCAACCACTGTGTAAAGGGGAAGCAAACAGTCTGTAAACGTTTTACAACTCATGCATGAGGCTAGGACTGTGTTCAGACTTCTCAGAGGCTGGGGTTCTTTTTCTACCCCACTGTTCTCACAAATACTCTTTATAGAAATGTGCCAAGAGAGTTTAAGAGCTGGTTGTGAGGATCAGGGGACCAAAAGAGGCTGAGCAGTACCCAGGGTACCAAAGGAAATGTCTGTCTCCTGCTACAATCTGCTAAACTGTGGGTGTAACTTTGCAGGGATAGAACTGAGTAAACTATGGGAAACACCCTACTTACAGGCACTGGTAGGATTCTCTAACCTCTGTTGTTTTCTCTGTTTTCTTCTATTAGCATTTACGTTGCTGGGAGAGCAGAAGTGTGGCAGGCAGAGGGTTTTGTGGTGGTGGTTTTTGTTATCCTTATCAGGCAGTGCTGCAACATAGCTTGACACAAAAAACTTTTTAAAAAAGCTGCGTGAAATTATAGACAAGATATTTTTGTGAACCTCCAGGCTGATCTCCATGCCAACATTGCTCTTTTTCTCAAATCCATATGCTGATAGTTTTCATTTGTTTTTCCTGACAAGTTCAATTGAAGACTATATTTTTAAATTGTGTTAGTTTTTCTACGAAAACTAAAGTATTTAGTTTCTTGATTTTTTTTTTTTCTCCCTCTCTTTTCTTTTTTTTTTTTTTGCACTGGCATAGTTAATAACAGAGTTAATAACAGAGTACGTTCTTGCAATGAAAACAGGCTATTGCTTTAGTTTACTACACTTTTTTCAGAATTTTGACTGTATTGACAAGCCTAATTAATATGGTTAGTACACTTTTTAGAGAAAATAGCTGGTGAAGTGAAATGCATGTGTGGATATGCATGTTAATATGCACCATGGATGTTTTCTTTGTTACCAAAAGCTTCTGAAAGACTGTCCTTGTTTGTCGTTTTGAAATCACTGTCATCCTTACAACTAAAGAAACCTATTTTAATTTCAAATAGATATTTTGATTATTTAAAAGGTAAACAGTTTTGTAAGAGATTTATCAGCTTATTCTGGAGGTTTAAAGTAAGGCAGTTGATCTACTTTTAGATGTTAAAAAGGAAATCCAAGTAGTGTTAAAAATAATCTCACGCCTCAATTTACATTGTGTTTTACAGGTAGCCTTTTGTGAAGGTGGAGGAGTAGATTTTTGACAGTACCTTACAGAGATCAGAATTGTCTGGGAGGGGAGGACACACAGGACAGGTAGCAGCAGGATGTCCAAGTAATGGAATTTGCTGTAGGACTTACTTGTCCTGAAGCTTCAGTTTATCTCTTTCTTACTTGAAGAGCGAGCTCTTAAAACTTTGTACATGATGAATACATCTTAGTCGCAGAAATCCACCTGGTAGTCACTCCTGAGTAAGGTTATTTTGTGAACTGGTCGAGTCCTTAGCACTGCAGGCTGGAAATGTAGCTATGGTGTAGAAATGGACTTGAGACATTAAGTCTCCAGTAGTAGTCTTTTAGTAAATGACTAAGAAGTTATCCTGTACCAATGGATTTGCTTATTCAAACGTTAAGTAGACTGGGAAGAACAGGACCTCACTATTGTTGAGATTTTTATTGTAGAGTTTGCTTAAAAAAAGCAACCAACAAAAAACCCTCGACCTAAACCACCTCTCCTCCCCCAAACCTCCCCCCCACAAACAGACAAAAATCCACAAGACAAACAAAACCCCCAACCCCAAAACCTGCATTGCAACAAGAAGTATATTAACCATTTTAAAGTGTAAAGCAGAATTCAAAGTGTTGGTCTCACCTCATGAAACTATTGATCAGTATCAGTATTTTTGATGTTAATGATTTAATCAGTCAGCTTTAATATAGTTAATATTGCAGATTACAGGTTCACCTCAAAATGGCTTTGCTTTGTGATTAGGTTTTCAAATACCCTTTGCTTAAAGAGCCAAAGTTCTACACTTAATTACTGACAGAAACTGCCAAGGGCCATGAATAATGTGATGTTGTAAAACAGTAGAAGAGGGCGTATGGCTTCTGTTATTTGTACTTCAATGAAGACAAATATATCATCAATATCAGAAGGGATATTAATATTTAACATTGCTTGTCTCTAAAGTCTGGAATATATATGAAATCATCAGGGTTATATGAGAAACTCCTCTAGGCTCCTGATTCATATTAAGTATCAGAATTCCTCACTTATTGAAAGGGTATATAAAGAGCTGTTCTATCTTCTAATTTATTCTGAGTTCTGCAAAAAAACTTTTGTCTTGAAACTGCATAAACTGCATCTCTGTTGCTAATCTGTTTACATGGATGTGTGGAACAGGTGCTGTTAAAGCAATACCTGATTTAGACAAGGGCCAAAGAGGTGAGCTTTGTCAGAAAATCTAGTTAGTGCTTCTCAGTTGAAGGACAATGGAAGAATAATATTGCTACCTAGCATAGCATGGATACCTCAGTGTTACTGTAGACTTCTTGATTGTGGTTTAAAAATGAAGTTGTAAGAAGACTTAATTTATCTTGCTCAAAGTGTTTTAGACTACTCTGTGTGAAAATAGCCTGTCCCAACGTAGTTAGGTTTGGTTTGGTTTGGTTTAAGTCTCGCACATATATGCCATAAGGCTTTTTTTGGCTTGCTTGTGGTGGCAGTCTCCCATGTTCCCATCACAGCTGGTGCTTTAAGGGAATGCTTTACCATGGGAGCATGGAAACCCAGCGGTATGCTAGAACTTAATGCTTTGTCAGATGATGATCAAAATCTTCAACAGAATAGCTGCATTAGTACAAAATTCAAGTTTAGACTATCCCTTGGGTACGTCAGCAAACAGTTCCTGATTGAGAATTCATTGAAGTCCACCAGCGACTTGCAGACCTGACTCTCTGTGGCCCAGTAAAACCGTCGGAAATACTCAAGGCTTCCTGTAGGACTGAGTTTATTGTGCATGTCAGCAATACAATGCACTTAAGCTTATTCTCATACATATTGCTGCTTTGATGAGGTCTCTTGTACGTCTGAGCATCCTTGTGGTTTCACTGATAACTGGATCAGAGAGGTTCACAGGGACCCCACAATAGAAGGGGAGGAGGCCGGGAAGAAGCGGTGCTAGAATCAGGTGCTGCAGGTATCAAAGAGCAAGGGAAGAACTTGTAGCTGTTTCAGATGTTGCTGACTAACCTGTGGTTTGTTATCAGTAAAGGTGATCCCAATAAGTGGTTTAAGTAGCTTTCTTGTACATCACAAACCTAACAGGAACTAAAGTAAGACTGTGGGGGTTTTGATGTGTCTCTGCATTTCCTTTGAGAGATTTCTGCAGTGCTATAGCAATACATTTCTAACTAGCCAGTTAACCCGGACCATTTCATGGTACTGGATTTGCACGTCTGTCTTCCCACTCTGATTTAGGAGAATGGTAGAAATTGAAATTAATTTGAGTGAAAATAAGCAATGCTGAGTCTTCCAGCACTGGTTCAGTCAAACAAAAGTAGTTTGTAATGAAGTGATCCCAGGGGTCCTGGGCAGCAGCTTTTTTCCTTTAGAAGAGTTGAAAGATTTTACAACTTAAAATTCAGTTCTCTGCTAGTATAAGACAGATCTATATATTTGTTCAGTGTTTTTATTTCAGTCATTAAAAGGAGGTTATTGAATGCTAGATCTTAACAAAATCTGTGGATTTTTATTTTTGTTTGTTGTTTTAGAACATGATATCCTGAAAAGCTTATTTTCTACTCTTGATGCTTACACTGTTAGACCAGACTGACAAAGATAATTACTCAGAAAGATAATCACTGCTTTGTATGCATTCTCAGGCTAACTACAGGTTAATAGATGCTTGATAATGCTGCAAATTTTTTGACAGACTTCAGTTTTATGTTTTTGTGTACTTCAGTGTTAAACAGCCACTTGAGGAGTTTCAGAAAGCTGGAACAGCTTTAAGCTGTTCTCTGTCACAAATGCTGAGTTGGCATGAAGAGCAGTGGTGATGAGAATAAACGCAGAAGGATAGAATGCTCACAGAAATGGCACAGGAGCATCCCTTAGGATTTACGACCACTGTAAACACTACTTTCACAAGTCAGCCATGTGTGCATAAACTTGCATATCCATGTTTTCTGTGTGTTAAGCGAAGTGGGCGGTTATTTGTAAGGTTGGGACCAAATACACAAAGGTATTACAGGCTGTAGATGAATGCTTTTAGTTTTTCAATGCTGCATTGAAGCAGAAGCTTTTCCTTTTGGCAGAACTTAAGTAATTTTCTTCTGGAGTTTTGAACAGAGTTGAAAGGAAGCATCAGGCTTTGGGCCTTGTTGTACTCAGGGTCTAACTAAAGAATTGCAATTGTCCTTTGGAATCAATGAGTGTAGTCCAGATCCCACTAAGCTGTGGTGCTATTGACCTCAGGGGACCAGACTTGGGCACCAAATACGTGAGCATTGTTTTACTTACATCCACGTTTCTGAGGTTTGTAGATTTTCACCTGAACACCCTGTTACTTGTGATGATAAAAGTTTACGGGAAGGACAAGTTTCTAAGTTGGGATATGGCACCCTTGTTCCCTGGTGTAGGGTCTCAGGAGAATGTTTTATTGTGGGTGATGTTATGTGCCCTTTCTGGTGACAGTCTGCTACTGAAGTGGTGTAACTGTTTGTGGTTTTCTTTCAATCAGAAAGCCAATATCTCAGCAACAAATGAAATAATATTTGCCTGTATTCTGGAGACCCGAAATACCCAGGGTGCTCTTGCAATTATGTCTCTGCTTACACATGTTGTCAAGTATCTTGTCTTTATATCATTTTAGTTTTGTATGTGTAAAATAATGATCAGTGTGTCCACAGAGACTTAAGTACAGAGCTGTAGCTGTTCACAGCTCACTCGACTGTGCTGCCTTCAGAGACAAAATAGCTAAACCTTTGTGACTGAAGAATTCCTTTATTTTTCTGCTTTGTGTACTTGTCCACTTCTTAGCATGCAAAATGCTTTGGATGGCCATGATTTCATAAGAAATAAGTGCCATTTCATTTCTTTTTCCTTTTTAAGGAACGAGCCCCTCTATCCTCATTGGTATGTCATTCTGTTGGATCTGTAGTGTAGCAGCACAGTGAGATTTGCTTTGTGGTGTCAGTTACTGGCAGTCTATTTACTTCAGATTTCATTTTCACAGAAAGATCTTGGTTTGGTGCCTCTTGAAGGGCTTGTGCAGTGAGATGTCTTTGCCATTTCTGCTCCCTGAGGAACATGGCTTTTTCAGAAGTGCTTATGCAGTTCTTGGGGATGACCTCCATCTCCCTCAGTTAAGAGAGGCTGAAGCTTTCTTCTGGCTCTCCTTTGCTTACGCTGCTGATAGTCCTCTGTCTTATGTGTTATGCACCAGGCACTAGATAACTGTAGAGTCTCCCTGAAAATATTCTTGACACTTTTTAGAGTATTGCTGCACACTAACATACTCCTTTTTTAATGCTTCCATGTAGGGCAGTTTATGGGAAATGTAATATTAAGTTGCATAAGCAATCATTGTTAGTAGCTCAGAGTGTTTAAACTGTCTGTATTGCTCTTAGAGAGAAACTCTGCAGTTTGACTATTGGAAGAATTAGCCAGATGAGCCTAGATACTTATAAGCAATTTTACCAAGCATTAAATTTGGCTTTTTCTTCATTGGCAGGGAGTTTGTTTGTGAAGACTAGAATCTCTGCGTTGGTGGGGTTAATGTTTGGTTCCTTTCTGGCCAAGTGCTTTTTAGGTACAACCAGGCTTAATCAAGAGTGATGTCTTCTGCAGAATCTGTGCTAAAGTGGATAATCCAGAAAAGAAGGAAAGTTGAATGGCATCAATTAAAGAAATTTTTAAAAGGAAGTAATAGAATTAAACTGTTTGCAGAGGTTCTGAGTGAATCTGTCTTGCCATTTCACAGACTGTATGAGACAAATTAAATGCCTTTTGTTTTTCCCTCAGCACTGATTGGTAGGCATTGTGCCTAATTTCAGAGCTTTATTTCTCTCATGTCTTGAAGTGCTTACAGTGTTCCTGATAAGTATTAGCTAGCTTGATTTCTAGCCATCATGGAACCATGTGTATAGTGGGAATCTTGAAGCTCCTGAATTCAGGTGCTTCCTTGAAGCATGAGAGTTGTTGTATACGTGCTGTCCCTTTGGGCTGAGTGCTGGGGTGAGAAGCAGGTGCATGCTGAGTGCATCCCCAGCCCAGCACTGGGGCTGCTGTGCCAGGTGGGCACACACACCATTTGCTGTCTTGGAGCAGTGATGATACTGGGGAAATTTAAAGCATGACTCCTGCCCTACTTAAGAGGAAAAACTGGGGTGCACCAGAAACTGTTTCATAATCAACATCTGAATTCTCTGTATTGACCTTGGATTCTTTTGCAATAACTAATTCAAATTGTAATTGAATTTACAGTAAAGGTTCTATGCAAGAGCTACTAAACTGTTCTGTATGCATTCCTTAGAGCATAAGGACTCAGTGCAGTATTAAAATGTTAAAACATCAGGAAACAGAACTAGAATTCTGCTTACCTTTTAAACTATGGGTAATAAAGTAGCAGAGCCTAAATTGGTCTTTGTCATGGGAAGTTCTGCGCAAACCAGTGTAATATTTCCAGTGGAGTTCTACTGTAAGATTTTTGTTTTGAATTTTAGTGTTGAAATTCAATAAGATATTTGTGTTTTGAGGAGAATTGACACCCTGACTGTTCTCTGCAAATGCCAATAGAGTTAAACCTGTCACAACTACTAAATGTATGTTTTCACAATAGTTTACTTAAGTGAACAGGTCTTATCAATTCCAGCTTATTCTAGTCTACCTATGGTCAGTCCCACAGCAAAATCTTACCAGAACTCCATCCTTACTGGTGCTTAGCTGCTCATGTACCTGGCTCTGATTTCTGGGGTTGTTCATCATTCTGTGTGAGGTTAGTCTCTTGCGATTCTCTCTTTCTAGTTAAATTGTGAGAGTGGTTCCATCCTTCTGCACTGCCTGAATCATGGGGAGTAACTGGAGATCTGTTAGCTCTCGTGGACTTCAAAGCTGCGGTGGAGCCTGTAGTGAGTTCAGCAGTGCCTTCTAAAATAATGCAGTGAAGCTAGGCTGAAGGTACCCCATAATCTGAGTGAAGGGATTTTGAATAGCAAAGGTGAAACAGAAAAGTGACAGTCTATGTTCATTCTGCAGTGAGGAGGAGCTGAAAAACTTCTACAGAAATGCAAAGTTTCTTCTCTGTCCTTAACTTTCCAAGCAGATTTCACACATGAATGGGGTTCTTGCTGTGATGTGTGTAGTTATTTAATGCCTCAAAACCATTTGATGCAGAAGCCAAAAGGAAGTCTTCCCCCTTGCCAAATACAGAGCGAGGTAAACCTTGAAAGGTGCAGAGCTTTTGATCTTGCTGTGGAAGCCACATAGGTGATTTTTCTTTCTTTTTTTCACCCCCACCCCCCTTGGTCTGTATTGATGGTGAGTGAGTTGGAGATTGGAACACGAAAACAGAATGGAAACTAGTTCAATTCATTTTTCCCCTTGAAAGCAAACTTGCTCGTTAAAAGAATTGCCTGAGTTCTTAAGTTGCTTATCAAAAGAGAGAAGATAACTTTGTTGCAGCTTCTGCAATATCAGCACACCTTTTAGAATGGAATTTGCTAAATCTTTTGGAGAATTGGATTGATAATCTGAGCAACAGGCAGTCAACTGCTTACATATGCACATCTATAAAATAGTGTTGCAAATACCCTGTAGTTAAAATTTAGCTGTACATGTATGAAGAGATCACACATCTGTACCTAAATCATGCTACATCCTCTTTTGTTCCTGGTAAATGCCTTTAAAATGAGTCTTCTTTCTTGGTTACCTCCTTGAAAGACCTGGAAATACAGGTCTTGTGCTGCTTTCTTCAAGGCAAACCAACGAGTTCAGTTATGGCTGGGGCAAGTCTGTTTAACAAAATAACCAAACAAATGCAAATGTATTTGAATCTTTAAATAAGCACAACACCCAAAGATGAATAAAATGTGACCCCTGTGCTTAGTGGTGTTGTAATGGTATCCTGTTTTAAATTAAATCCCAGGCTAACCTGTGCTTTGTGGATGTAGACAACCATTTCATTGAGCTGCCAGAAGACCTACCCCAGTTTCCAAATAAACTCGAGTTCATTCAGGAAATTTCAGAGATACTGATGGCATTTGGAATTCCACCTGAGGGAAACCTTCACTGCAGTGAAAGTGCCTCCAAGATGAAGAGCCTCAGAGCATGTGACCTGGTTTCTGATAAAAGAAATGGGAACATAGCAGGATCACCTTTGAATTCCTATGAGCTGCTAAAGGAAAACGAGACTATTGCAAGACTCCAAGCACTCGTTAAAAGAACAGGTGTGAGTCTAGAAAAGGTAAGCTATGAAATGATCTGCGTTCTCTCTGGTCCTGCAGTAGCAGATGGTCCGAAGTCACGGTCCAAAGATGCTGTTTGTCTTCACTAGGAAGAACTTTTATGCTAACATGTTCACAAACACCTGTAGAGACAAGGGCAAGCTTAGAGGAGAGAGGGAATGGGAGTTTAACCCCTCAGCCTCTGGGAAAACCTTTGCTGTCCTACAGGTGTTTATTTGGCAAGATACTGTGTTTAAAATAATACCTTGCTTTGTTCATTTTTGGGTTTAAGATGTTTTTTTCTAAATTGGCAGTGCTTTATTATGATTTACATGGCTAATATCAGATAACCCTGAAGTGCAAATCCAGTCTCGGTTTCTATAGATATCTTTCTCAACATGTAGAATATGTATGATTTTGCTTGTATATAATATGTTTGCCATAGCGATACTGTGATGTATTTTTCTGGCTGATGTTGTAAAGTGCATTAGAATCTGATTCCAAGCAAGTGGACATGCACAGCTCATGGTGATGCTGGTTGGACTTTTCTGGAGTGATCAGAAATGGCAAAAAAATGTCAAAGACCACTGTGGGGTTTTTGAGCCTTTGTGGAATAAAATGAAGACTCTCAGCAAGGGTTTTATTTCTTGCCTGTTTAAGTTAGCTTGACCAGTTCTTCGTTGCTGCCTGCCTGTGTGACTGTAACTTGGGCTACAGGTGGGGCCAAACAGAGACAGAAATTGTGACCTGCAGTGGGTTGCGGGGAGAGATCTGCTTTGTGGGGTGGGAGCTACAATAAGCAGCACTTGGTTACTTGGCAGGATTAGATGCTCAGATCAGCTCTGTTCCCCTTCTCAGGGTTTTTATGTTTGTTTTGTTGTTTTGGTTTGGGTTTTTTTGCATTGTTTTTTCATTGTTTTCTTCTTGTTCAGGGAAAATTGGTAAAAGACTTTTGTTCTTTTGCTGAATGGTTTGGCAAGTGATGGGAAAATACAGGTCTTCTAAATTTCTTGTAAGTTTTTGCACATTCAGGCCTCATCTAATCTGTACTACCTTCCACAGTAGTAAAAATCCCATTTTGCTAGCCTTTTCTGTGATGATAGGTGATAACTGTCAAAATTTTCTCAAATGCATCAATAAAAACCTGTTTAATGCCAGCTACTCAATTCATGAGGAATGTATAGAGAGCAAGTGCTACTCATGAGATGCAGTTAGGAGAAATGCGTGAATTGAGAGCTCTCTAGCAGAGAGCATCAGTGTAGGATGCTGTTTATAGCTGGCCTTGGGCTGCTCTAGCCACACTGCTCTCAGCAGCCTGGGACAGCTGCAGCACTGCATGGCTGTGCAGCTGTGGGCAGCTCTAGATACCATGACGATGAGTATGTGTGGTGGTGCCTTTTATCAGAATTAACAAAGGCAGGGCTAGAAAATGTGTATTGAAACTAGTCATGGAATGCTTGTGGCTTTGGTTATTTTTAATTCCTATCAAAGCTAATAAGAAGTGAATATCTCAATCTCATATTGCTGTTTTCATAAATCATAGTCCACATTTTAACTGAAAATGCATTTTCTTTCATTAAAGATTGCTCTGGGCTGTGTAGTGATGAATTGTGACTTACACTGCTAAGGACTTAGGTTGCAGGAAATTGGCTGCTAGACATGCACAGCTTCTTGTTACTGTGCATTTCTGCCTTCATTGGAAAGCTGGCATATGTTAAACTGTATCAGTACTAAACCTGGACTTGTTTTACACCAGATGTGGATCTGCCTAATGTGCAAATTTTTAGGGGTAGTAAAAACCCCTAAAAATCCTCTGCAGCTGAATGAAGAAAGTAAATTAAGTGTATGGCATACCTGGGCATGTATATGGTTATTTACTCTTCTAAAATTTAAAGCGTATCCAGTGCAACCAGTACTAAAGTAGGTTTTGGTTTATTACTGAAATTAGAACTTTTCTAGCCAAAGGATTCCGTCTTGATTTTTTTTTTTTAATGTTGCTGTTATATTACAGTGGTTGAAACTGTAAGTAATTTTTTTCCTGGAATGTTGACTTGAGGAGTAGCAGCTAAATGGCAGATTAAGACTTTGTGTACCTGAAGTATGTGACAAAGCAACAATACAGATTTTGTGTGTGTTCTCTTACTTTCTCAGTTGGAGGTGCGAGAGGAGACCAGTAGCAAAAAGGACCTCAAAATTCAGTGTGATGAAGAAGAATTCAAGATTTACCAGCTGAACATTCAAATTCGTGAAGTTTTTGCCAACCGCTTTACACAGATGTTTGCAGATTATGAAGTGTTTGTCATTCAGCCCAGTCAGGACAAGGAATCTTGGTTTACAAACAGAGAACAGATGCAAAACTTTGATAAGGTAAGTTGTAATAAGAAGATATGTTAATGTAAGAAGTAAAACAGTATTCAAACCTTTGTTTACTGGGCCATCAAATGAAAAACAATCCTGTCAAAATTGTAATTTCTTCCTTAAATTTCAGTCTTGCATATTATGTGGAAAAATACATACATATTCAGACTTGTGGAGGTAAAGATACTTTTTTAAGGATAGTGTAGAAAAATAGGGGTTACTTTAGAAATATAGCTTAGAAAGCCTCACTTTAGGGCTAAGCTCTGCATTAAGGTTAAATATTGCTCATGGAAATTGTTTGATTTCTCACCAGAGGAATTGCCGAATATGTTAATGAATAAAGTCATGACCCCCCATATTGCTTATGTACGTGTGTACTAGATGTGTTCCTGGCTCTTTTCTGAGGAAACACGAGACCCACTTCTGCAAATTTTTCTGCTGTCTTCTTTATTGGAGATCAGATATCTGTCAGCAGGATAGTTCACGTGGGTGAAGATTGTGTTGCAGCCACTGTCTGTTAAAATGCTAATCTGATTCCCATAAAATCATATTTTTATGATACTGTGAGGGTGGTGAGACCCTGTCCCAGGGTGTCCAGGGAGGCTGTGGCTGCCCCAACCCTGGCAGTGTTCACAGCCAGGCTGGATGAGCCTTGAGCAACCTGCTCTGGTGGGAGGTGTCCCTGCCCAGGGCAGGGGTTGGGGCTGGCTGAGCTCTAAGGTCCATTCCAACCCCTAAAATTCTGTGATTCTATCTGAAAAGATTCTCATCAATTGCATAAGCTTTGAGCCCAGCCAGAAGTACCTAATATTGACAGCTGTTGGTGTGGTTTTCTGGGATTCTGTTGACATGTTTAGAAAGCTAAGGAAATGCTAAAATCACAGTTTACTCATTATTGTGCTCTATATTATATGATTGTCCTGATATTGAAGATTTTGTATTGGTTTGGGCATAGATTTGGGGTGCGTAATAAAACTAGGCTTTAAGTGGCATCCGAGAGCTCTGATACATCCTTGATTAGAAGGAATGGTGCTTTTGGTGGATCTCTCTCTCTCTGCAGACTGCCCAAAACACTCTTACCTCTTCCTGTCTATTAGGCATCTTTCTTGTCGGACCAGCCTGAACCTTACTTGCCTTTCCTCTCGAGATTCCTGGAGACCCAAATGTTTGCATCATTTATTGACAATAAGATTATGTGCCATGATGAAGATGATAAAGACCCTGTTTTGAGAGTATTTGATTCTAGGGTGGATAAAATCAGGCTGCTAAACGTCAGGACACCAACTCTGCGCACATCTATGTATCAAAAGTGCACGACCATTGAGGAGGCTGGTAAGAGCAATGAGGCATTTTCTTGACACTTGGTGCAACTAGTCAATGCGGTTTGTTGTAGACATTAGTTGAAAGTTAAGTAATGATTCATGCTTTGAAGCCTCAAAAAAATAGGCCAAAATAGCTGAGATGTAAAGCTTAAATGGGGAACTGAATGTTAGATAGGAAGCTGAGATGAAATTAATGTAAAGTTGAATTGAACTCACCTGTTTTCCTGCGTGCTTTGTTTGAAAAATATTTGAGCTTAAGAAGATGAACATTTTTCTTCTTTTGGTGACTGTTCTTTGATGTTTAATACACTCTTGTGCTAGTGCTGAGATCAGCAAGAAACTTGCACCTCTTCCTTGAAATTTGAGATCTGCTTTTAGTTGAGGATATGTGACTGTCAATACATGTCTGATTAAAACAACTTTGAAAAAACTGACTTTCTTACTATTGCAGAGAAATCTATTGAATTGAGGCTAGCAAAAATAGATCACACCGCAGTTCACCCACACTTGCTGGACATGAAAATTGGACAAGGGAAATACGAGCTTGGATTTTTTCCCAAGCTTCAGTCTGATGTTTTATCTACTGGACCAGCAAGCAACAAGTGAGTAGGCTAGGGCCACAGCTACTGAACCTTGGCAATGCTTATGGAATGGTAGGAAAGCAGAGATACTAGAAAGCAAATTCAGTTGTGGGGTTTTTTTCCAAGTGGGACCAAATCGGCTGAATTTGGTGGGTTGTGTGGAGTGGAGATTTTGCTATGTCTTTTTTTTTTTATTTTATTTTAAATCTGGACTTCCTGAAGTGGTGGTTTTCAATCTGAGACTGGATGTGGCACTTAGTGCCATGGTCTAGTAACCACAGTAGGGTTGGATTTGATGATCTTAGAGGTCTTTTCCAACCCAGTTGATTCTATGAATCAAATTTACTTAAGGAAGCCCTATTGTGTTTGAGGTGATAGTTGGTGTACTTTGAGTTCCTTATAACTACTGTCAGTATAAAAGCAGATCCCCTTACTGGATCTCTGGTAGGAGGTAGCAAATATTTTGGGATGTTTTCTTACAAAAACTTGGAAGGAGAAGGGAAAAGGCTTAAATTATCAGTGGATGTCATAAAAGAATGGAAAAATACAAACCAAGTATATGTAATCTAATGTTCTGAAATATTTTGGTTGCCCAGTATTGGATTCTTTGGCAGAGATTTGTGTGTATTTGCAGTTGCACTTTGCCTGATGTAGTTGATGTCAATGTGTTCAGTATAGAATAAGCTACAAACTTTGTATTGCCACTGCCCTTCTCCTAACTCCTGACATTTGCTTAATAATATTCCCGTCTGTAGGTGGACAAAGAGAAATGCTCCTGCACAGTGGAGGCGGAAGGACAGACAGAAGCAACACACAGAGCACCTGCGTCTTGACAATGATCAGAGAGAGGTGAAAATTATTCAGCTATAGAGATCTGACACTGCCCCCCCTTAATTGCCTGAAAAATGCTCTGTAACATTTGTGGAATGTCTGGACAGTTACTTGCAGTCCATCCTGCTCTCCCTTAGGCGTATTTAAGACTAATGAAATTCCTGATCCTTAGCAGACCAAAAAGACCTCGTTTGCTTATTCTAAAAGTTATGCCATTTGTACCTTGTCTCAGGACAAAATTATTTCATCCTGTGTATAGGAGAGTTCCCTGGAAGTGTCATCACGTGTTTTACAGTTTGTTGTTATTTTATTTAAAAAAAAGGTGGTGCGAGAGTAGAGGGGAGTTAGCAGTCTTTAGCCATCTATTTCCTGTATCTACTTACTGAGTCTCCCTGTCCTTTTTGTGTATTTGATAGAGGAAGGATAACCACCTTGAGAGAGTGATTAATGTCTAAAATCAGTAGCATTGCCTTTTGGAGTTGCCTGTTTTGCTTCTGCAGGCCGTCCCAGGAGTGTTAAGGTGGCAGACTGACACCCCCTCCTCATGCCCAGGTTGGATGGTGATCCCCAGCCGTGCTGTCACATTGGTCTGCCTGTTTTGACACAGCACAGTCTGATGCTGACTTACCCAGCTTCTGAGCTGGTGACTCCTCTCCCCGGGGCTCCTGCAGCATACACAGCTCTTCTTCGTGGTGAAGAGATTTTGAAAGATCTGGGTGACGCGAACTAATTGCAGTGCAGCTTCTGGTTTATGTGATACAGACCACAAACTGTTACGCTGTATGTGGATAGATGGGTAATTCCAAGGATAGTCTGGTTCAGAATATCAGAATGCATTTGTTCAGTAACCCCAAAGCTTTGCTTTTCTTAGAGTCTTATGTTCATTGAAGACAATACTCTCTTGCCTTGTTAAATATCTTTAGAAAAGCTGCATTTGGAATTTTAAGGTATTAGTAGTTTTGACAGCCTCTGTTAGGCTAGTGTTGTCAAAATCAAATATCTTTGTCTCTTCAGGTCATTCTTTCATGGTAGTGATGAGTTTAATTGCCTTTCCAGTGTACTCATTTCCAGAATTTTCTCACTGGTTTGTTAAAATTTTGTTGAAGGATAGTGTCATCTCTGTCATCCATAACCATGCAACAGGAAAATGCCTGCATGATAAAACCCCCTATGAGTAGTTTGTGGCTTTCACATGTTCCATGTGCTCAGATAACTCTAAAGTGCTTTTGACTTAGAAGTAACAGAAATTAAGAATAGTGGACTTGTAACCTCATTGTGCTGAACATCATAACTGTTAGAGCATGTAAACTCCTGAGATATCAATTAGGTAATTACAAAGGCAAAAAACTACCCTTAGTCTTTGGGGTTTTTTTGTTTGTTTTGGTTTGTAGCTGATCCTTCGCAAGTTCATTGGAGTTATTCTCTTGCATGAGGTAAATAATCTCTGAGGAATAAAAATTAGAAATACATGCTTAGGTGAGTGTCCCAACTGCCATGTTAGTCTGAGGCAGTGTTTTAGGGTTTCTGATGGCATGATGCTGACTGAGCATTGACCCTCCTAGGTGAACCTCAGGTTCCCCTGTTAAGCAGGAAGGAGTGGGGAGGAACCCTTCCGAGATGAGCCCTGGGGAAGAGGCTGAGCAGGAGGCAGTGGTTTCCAAGTGCTATGTTGTCAGTTTTAGACAAATTGAAGCTTTGGGGCAGCCAACAAAAGTCTGTGCAATTGAGACTTAGTGGCTTTTTGTGTGCAAATATTTGTGCCCAGAGGAGGGCAGAGTTTACACCAATCCACTGATTTAACACCATCTTTTCTTTTTTTTTCCTTTCAGATTCATTACTTATGAATTTATTTTTATGTTAAGTGCTTGGGAGTTCTGCATTGTATTATGTCTTCACTCTTTTCCTTTTCTGTTTTGCATGCTTGCATTTATTACTTGATGTGTGCTTGCCACTTACACTTTACGTGGTCTGCTTGGCATTTTGCTACCAACTTATCCTGCCAGCACCTGGACTATTCCATGTCAGAGCTTCAGTTGCAGTTATGTTTAGACTGGGACCAGCATGATTGGCCCTTCATGCCCTCTATAAAATCTGTGTCAGAGCATTATCTGGTATGTCCAATGCACAATACAACTCTAATCATACTTCTGGATAAGGATGCATAATTAAATATATGTATCGTAGCTCTTTAGTGCAAGGCCAATGAAGAAGGTGGGGTTTTCCCTCTTTGCAAAGATCACGTTGTCTTTGGCAAATCTATTCACCGATATTTCGGTCAGTCATTATTGCAGTGTAAGCTGGAGAGGTTACCTACTAATCTGAAATATGTGCTAATCCTGAGTGTTCCATCAGTGCCCATACAGGACTTTGTCACTCGTTCACAGCTAGCTGTGCCCCAATCTGTGATCACCTGGCCTTCAAAATATTTGTTGTATCGTTCTTGTCTCTGAAGTTGAAGACAATGGCAACTCCTTCATGGCAGTAATAGGAGTAGAAAAGCTCTTTCAGGTAGAGTGGGTTCAGGAAGTGCTTTTGCTCAAAAAATGCAGGTGGTTCACAGCTGAGAGAGGTTTGTAGCATTTTGCAGCTATTTCCTGAAAGATGAAAGTTTTCTTGCATCCCCCGTGTAGACCAGTCTGCCATTTGAATAGTCTTGGTCTGGGTAATTTTTACAAATTTTCGTTCTATATGAAGAAATAACCAGACAGTTACCAGTGATGGAGGGAGTGATCGAGTGTCTGTGCATCTAAATATCCATGGCAGTTTGTATTGTGTTCTTGTAATTCAGCAGTGTGTGTTCTAATACTAGACAGACAACATAAATGTGGATTTGACCTTTGGTGAGGTAGTACCTCAGTGTCTCAGCCCAGTGTAATGCTGGGTATGAACAGGGGCCTTTTCTGAAAGAGGATGCAATCCTTTCCTCTTCATTACCCTGGGGGGGGTTATGAAGATACGTTTACCCTCTTCTTTTGGCAAAGTAGCCTCACTTGCACTTTTGTCTGTATTTGTCAATTTTTTACCCCAATCCAGAAGTATATCCAAGAAGCCAGGAATCTGGGCAGCACTATTCGGCAGCCCAAGCTGTCCAACCTCTCTCCATCGGTAATTGCACAGACAAACTGGAAGTTTGTAGAAGGCTTGTTGAAGGAATGTCGAAATAAGGTAATGGAATAATTCTGTTCTCTTGCACCTCATATCCATCCTTTATGGGCCATTTGTTATCTAATGTGTTTGCACCCCTCTCTTCCGCCATCTGTTTCTGCTTTATCCCTGTGAAGATTTTTCGGTGATGGTGAAATACTCACGAAGGGATAATGTGTGTAGAAATTCTGCAAGGAGTGGAAACTTTATCAAACAGATTTCTGATAGAAAGAGATTGAATATTCTGATGGCTCTTTGCCATCCTGCTGCCCATGTCTCTTACAGCACATTTCAGTTATAACTAATGAGGCAATACTATTTCAGCCAGAGTGAATGTTCCAAAAGAGGAGGTTGTGGTGAAAATGCAGCAGAATAGGAACAAAGATGAAAAATGTGTAAGAGATGGACAGAAGTGATTCCCTCATCATTTTTCCCTCCAGTTGGCTGTATGATGAGTATATTGTGACTGGAAGATCTAGTGAGAGCTTTGTTGACCAGTATGAAATTGTGCATGCTTTAGGAGAATGTGGCTTGTTGGGAAACTCAAGAGTTGCACTCCAGAGTGGGTTTGGTTTAAAGGCAAATCCCCTTCTGACAGAACAGGGTCCCACAGGAATGATACACCATACTACCTGAAAGGACTTGGGCATGTTCACCTCCCCTGGGAGGAGGTGAATGTAGTGTCCTGCTCCTGGTGAGTGCATCCAGCACTCACTAGGCTTCAAAACCACCCAGGACCTGTGTTTGATGGCCTTGCTGCTAGGCACCTAGCTTGTTGCCTTTCTTGGAGTTACTCTGTGGAGCCTGATGTGCCCATTTGCAAGCCCTTTTTATAGGAAAATAGAAGAGACTGTAAAGTGATGAATGCTGGTGCTGTTTTGGCTTGAAGACCAGGGATAAAAATTGAAATCTGTAGTAGTGTTGGAAATATATATACACCCAGTTATTCTCCCAGATCTTTATCATGTGCTTCCTTGTTGGTTCTTTGAAAAGTGTCGGTGATGTTGGAAGTTCCTGTGGAAAGAATTAACTCTCCTTTGTCCTTTTTGAGACCAAGAGGATGTTGGTTGAGAAAATGGGTCGAGAAGCTGTGGAGCTAGGTCATGGTGAAGTGAATATCACAGGTGTGGAAGAGAACACCCTGATAGCCAGTCTTTGTGACCTCTTAGAAAGGATATGGAGCCACGGTCTGCAGGTCAAACAGGTGAGGAACAAATTTTCTTGTACCTTACAGAGCACACTTTCCTAAAGTCATGTTATGCTCTTCCTTTCTCTGCTGCCAGAGAATACCTTTTGTGTATATAGATGTGTTAAAACAATTGTGTGTCCCTCAATCTTTTTCATGTCAGTTCCTCTGTCTGTCTCCACATTTTGCTCTGGGGTATGTGCAAGTGTGTGTGTAGATGTATTCCACAGATGACTTCCTGGAAGGCTCTTTCTGTTTAGCCTGGGGTTTTTCTTTAGTTTTGGTGGGGTTTTTTTAACAGGATGGTAAAAAAGCTATTTCTGTCTTCTTTATATTTTAGTTAATGAAGTGGCACAGGCTACAAGGCAGCAGATGCTAGAGGTGCTGACAGTGGGGAAATAGTCTTCATGGAGGATAATTTAGTTCTTTAGAGTAAAAGTCTTGGTATTTGGTTCTTCCTGAATGATGTAGGGGTGCTTAAGTGATGTTTACATGATCCCTAGCCAGAGGTGTTGGAGTTTTGTATGAAATCAGTAGTTGTATGTCATGCTCTTCTGTTTGGAGTCACTTGTGGGACTAGATGGAGTTTGCAAGGCCTTTATCCTTTCCTCCTCCTTTGCACAAAGGAGTAGCAAGGGCAATGTGGTTTAGAACTTCTTTCTTTTTTAAAGAATGTAAAGGATAAATGTGTGTAAGCCAGACAACTGTAATCCAGTATCTCTGTTGCCAGCATCCAAGCACCAGGGTTTAAATCTGCTCTCCTTCAAACTATATAGCAGTTCTCTATGTGAAGATTTATCATGTGACTCTCTCCCTTCCCTCTTGTATATCACTTAGGATAGAAGCTGTACTGCTTTCATCTTAGAAGACAGAGCATCAGTATACTCTGCTTCAACTCAGATTTGGGCCTTTCAGACCACCAGACGCCCAACCCTTCATAAGGTTAATGCTTTGGATTGATTGCAGATGTTGGCAAACAGTGCTGAATGGTGGAATAAATAGTGGTGGAATAAAATAGAGGCCTGATGGAGGAAGTGCAGTGTATCTCTGAGTATGACTGAGAAAAAGCAACAAATAAAGTAGCACCTCCAATTCTCTGTGTGCTCTGGCCTTCATGAGATATGCAAAGCCTGCTGTTTTGTACATTGATTTTGTTTTGTTTTTCAATTGTGAGCCAAGGAAGACTCTTCTTTCTCAATTGACCATAGTAATGAGGATGGCTTTCCTTCCACCAATCCCTGCTTTTACCTCTTCACTGCAGATGAACCCTGATAGTTCTACATTAGCTACCTACTGATTCTTCCATGTGCAAAGGGAATCCACGCCTTTCGTTGTCCTGTGCCATGCAGGAGAGCTGTCACATGGAGGATCTAATGACTGAAGTAGTCTAGACTTTAAGAAGGCCTTGGTTATTCCCTTGCCCATTTTCTGTCCCACTGCTTTCCCTTGGCTGCCTTCCTTTCTCTTATAGATACAGCTTGCATCGTCATTACTATTTGGTGAAGTTAAAGGAGAGTTACACGATGGTAAAGGAAGCAGCAGAAATACATTGCATGAGTTCTTACATTCATCATGATCGTTGACATCAATTTGCTGCAGGATCCTTTGTTGTTGCTTTCTGTGATCTGTTGCAGTTCTCCTTGCCATGGCAGCTGGTTGCTGAACACTAGGCTCTGTGTGCATGTGTGTGTTTACTGAGAGAAATGCCATTTTGGGTGTGACTCTTTGCTGGTTGGTATTTTTCATGGTCTCTTTTTATGTGTTTATATGAGTTGCCATTCTGGCTTTTCATCTTGCATCTCTCAAGTACACACAAGACACAATGAGCTTCTCTAGATTTTTTTTGCATCTTCACCACTGAATGCATATTTTTAATAGATCACTCTCACCACAGATGTTTCAGACACCCTAGGATTTAATCTTTTGGAGACATGCCACTTCTGGAATAATCCCTTGTGGTCCATAGCTCTTTGTCAACTGTAGGCAGCTGTAGGATAGAAATGGTTAGAGATTTTTAAACACAGTTTTAAAAAAATAAATTCCAAGTTGAACCATCATTACTGCACCTCTGGGAAGGCCTTAGCTCATTTTAGAAGAGATTGGTAGTGCAGAATTGACAGTTGTTGCTTTACAGTCGTGGTTCTGCACAAAGTTGTAAATAAAACGATGGTCATATAATATTGCTGCTTTTCTGAAATGCAGAATTGCTAAATCTTTACTGGGATTTCAGGTGAATGCAGTAATTTAGGAAGATGATTAGTAGTGCTAATTAATTTCCTCTGTAAGTAATTCCAATTAATGTGTTGGAGAACCTCTATTCAATTATTGCTGCCTTTTTGCAGCTTGACAAGCTTTTGGTTTATCCTGAAGAATATTTTAGGATGAATCCAGGAATCTTCATAGTTTCCCAGTGAAAGGTTTTCCCACACTCTGCTTTAAGCTACCAGAGATTGAAGGAAGCAAAGTAATGAGCAAGGTGCACCTTTTAACGTCATTTGATGGATTTATCTTGGCCTAAATATTATATCCCAAATTCTAGCTGTAGCTGGTTTTACAGTGTGTGGAACTGGAGTATTCTTGCTGATAAGCTTCCATTGTTCTGCTTGTGGTTTAGGATGCCTTACTGTGTTTGTAGGGATCCAGGTCCTTTGCCTGATGAGACTGAGTGGGTGGTGTGGTTTAACCAGTAGCCAAGAACCACACAGCTGCTCACACTCCCTCCTCCCCCTCTTCTCCCCCAACCCAGAGGAAGGGGGAGGAGTAAAATAAAGTAAAATGTGTAGGTTGAGATAAGAGCAGTTTAATAGTAATAAAGAGCGGAATGAGCTAAAATGCTAATGGACAATAAAAAGAACAAAATCAGTGATGCACAATCCAATTGCTCACACCCGCGGACAGGCACAGCCCTGTCCCTCCCCCTGGATCAGCCCTTCCTGGCTATAGGCTGGGCATGATGTGCCATGGGGTGGAATATCCCTTTGGCTGGTTCAGGTCACCTTCCCGGCTATGCTCCCTCCCAGTTTCTTGTGTACCTTCTCAGTGGCAGAGCATGAGATGCAAGAAAGAAAATGTCCTTGATTTAGGATACACACAACATAGCAGAAACCAAAACATCAGTGTATTATCAACAGTATTATCACTCTTAATCCAAACACTGCACTACACTAGCTACTGAGAAAATTTACTCCATCCTGGCTAAAACCAGCACAGAGGGATCTTTTGAGGTTGTAAAAATTGCAGCCCTGTTTTACCCTGCAGGGGACAGGTGCACACACCTTGGCCTGGGTACAGGATGGTTTGCTCAGGCTGGCTCTGTGTCTCCTGCCATTCCACTGCTGGAGGGGCAGGGAGGGAAAGACACATAGCACAGGTTATAGCCTCAGATTTAAAACTCTGCTTGTACATAGTGCTTTACAAGCCTTTGAATGTTTTCTCGTTGTATTAACAAACTATGAGGAAAGAAGTTCAACAGACATTTTCCTGCTACCAGAATCATTAGATCCCAGACTATTCTGATTCTTGCTTTACTTTCTCAACCTCTTTGCAGCTCCCAAGCATCTCCAACTTGTGTCTCATTGTTGCTTTTTACCAATGAGTTTATAGGAAGAAACATATTTAAATCAAGTTTTTGTCATGTCTGATTCTTTCAGTGATGATTTGAACTTTTTTTTAAAAATTTAACTGACAGTGATTTCTTTAACATTTTTTTCATTTTAGGGAAAGTCAGCTTTGTGGTCTCATCTGTTACATTACCTAGAGAACAGAAAGAGGAAAACTACATCAGGCAGCTTCAGTGCCTCAGGTAAGATTGACTTCTGCTGAAAGAAGATGATAAAAAGCTGTGAGTAAGAGCTGCCTGCAGATTTACACCATGCAGAGTTTTTTTTCCTTGGAAATGCCCTTCACTCAGTATAACTGAATCAAGTATTATGTCCACTGCAGGATTAATAGGGGCCTGGTGTGTTATCTCAGTGTAGTTTATGAAAAATAAACTGATTTGTACTGAGCCCACTTGTTTGGGTCTGGTATCTGACTACCACAGTAATGAGAGACCAGAAATAGCTGGTGCTTCAAAGATAGGCTTTAAAATGGATTGGTTGGATACACCACCCTCCATGTGACACACAGTCACTCTGTGGCTGGCAAAGTAAATGCTGTTATGGATGGGTGTAGAAAACAGGTATAGACACATACAATTGTGCTGTACATACTGAAGTTTTGCATTCTTGCTTGAAAAATAACTGAACCAGTAGGCTTATTGTTTAAAGGAAAAAGACATTTGAACAAAAAAAAAGTGAAGAAAAATGCTTTACTTTCTGTAACCTAAGTGTTGCAGTAGAAGTAATATTGCACATAAGATCCACTGATAATCTGTTTCTAGGGTTATTAGTGTAATTTTTAAACACGACTTCTGGTGTCAGGTGGGGGCATAGGATATGAATTTGGAGAGAACAGTGGGTTTGGGGGAGGCAGTGGGTGCCTTGTGTTGTTTATTTAAAGTTACTGTAGGCAGAGAGCTGAGCATTACTAACATGCACAAGGTCCTATAGGCAATCCAAATCAAAGATTTGGAAGGTATTAAAGTCCCCTGATTGTTGCTTGGTTTGTAGTGGTTTCCACATCAGAATGAAGTTACAGTTTTATGCTTTCTAACTTGGGATTCAGGGCAGGGACTGTATTTAATATGCAACTTGATTTGAGAGAGGGATTTGAAAGAGCAAGAATCCTGCTTGAAGACCTCCTAATGTGCTGTTTTAAAAGTAGTGATGTTTACATGGGTGTGCAGAGTAATTGTCAGTAAGCATGTGATGTGTGATGTACTGAGTAAAACAGGTTAAACACTGTTTTCTGGTGTCAGCTGTGCCAGTCAGTTTTACTACACAGAAAGAAAATAGTGTGGTCTTTAGAAAATAAAACTTGATTATTCTATGTCTTAAGCCCTTTGATGTCATAACAATTTCAGCTGAATCTAAGCTCATTAATGTGTTTTTGCTCAGTTATGGTTATGCTGATCTGCATAACCAGCTGTGTGGCATCTTAGATTTTCATGTCATTTGGAGTGGAAGTGTCCCACAGTATCTTCACAGAGTCACTAATAATACAAGAGTTAATTCACTTTTTTATATTAATTTTAATCTCTTTAGATGGATTTCTGCTAACAAGAAATTCTGTTCTCCTGTATTTAGGAATACTACTTGATTCAGAAAGGCGAAAGTCTGATACCAGTCCAGCCATGTCACCTCTTAGAATCTCTCTCATCCAGGATATGAGGTGAGTTTGAACTATTAAAACCAACACAGAAGCCTAATGAGGTTTGCATACTTGTTTCTGTGCATACGATGCACCATACAGAAAAGCCTGTGTTTGTGCAGCAGGAGTGGGATGTGGGGAAAGGAACCTGTTGAACTATTTTAAACTAGCTAGTACAACTTCTTCATTGACCTTTACAGAAGCATGTTTCATACTGAGGAGATTTTATATTGTCACAGCTACCAGCTTATGGAAATACCATGACATATTTTTCATATTGTTAAAGTATTCTGTACTGGTTTATTTTCACAGAGGTGTGAGTGTAGCATATGCATTTTCCCAGTCATTTCCAAGTTGGTTGCATAGTTCTGAGCCCATTCTTGTTTCTCGGTGAAGAAAACAGTTTAAAGAACTTGATTAATCTAAAGAATGGGTTTATCTAACAGTGAGTACTGTAGTGTGAATATAACTTCTGCCCAATGCCTTCTTTTCAGTGTATCAAACAACCAATGTGCAGAACTTCTAAATAACCTTGAGAAGATTTTTCTTTCCTTCTATTTCATTACCAACATCTAATTGTTTTCAGTAGGGAGGAGAGAATTGAGGATTTGGTTGTCCTTTTAAAACATACTGTTTGTGTCTTGTATGCAAGAAAAGATACTACTAAGCATGCTAATGCAGTATTTAATTTTCCAACATGCTCAGCCATAAATACTGCACTGATAAGGTCCAGAATGATTCTTAAATCATGTGAGACAATGGGCCTGGTTTAGAATTTTGTAAATAGGGCACTGCATTGCAGATATTCCTTTTCAGGCTTTTACTCTTTTTGAGCTAGATATGCAGGGATTTTCAGTAGTGCTGAATATTAAGGTGTTTTTGTCCCTTTTCCAATAATTTACCCGATATTTTGTGTTCTTTGCAAAACTTCTGCATCCTAGCTTGGTTCAAAAGAGCTGTCACACTTTGACAATACCAGGCAAGTTATCTTTTTTTCTTTTTCCCCAGGCATATCCAGAACATTAGTGAGATCAAAACGGATGTTGGCAAGGCCAGAGCCTGGGTTCGTCTCTCTATGGAAAAGAAGTTGCTCTCTAGACATCTGAAGCAGCTGCTTTCTGATCATGAACTCACAAAGTAAGATGGTTTATCATGGGCAAAGCTTTTAAAAAAATTAAAATCTATTTAGTTGTTTGACTTCAAAAACCCAGATGTGACTATTTTGTCATCTGCTTAGCAGTATGTAGAAGGCACAAAATAAACTACCTCCCAGGTGTGTCTCTGTACCAGTGTATGAGCTGTTTGGAGTCAGGATTCTGTGCTGGGGTTCCTCACATACAGAATCAGTTCTGTCAGTGTAGACTGTGACTTTGAGATGAAATCTTCAAAAGTTGCTAAGGATTTATTTCATGAAATGGGGCCTATGTCCAAGCATTACTACTTTGCTGAGTCAAGCTTTTTATCTTGGCCCCCTTTCTGGAACTGGGGGATAGTTTGTTGTCCTTGGCTTGTTGGCATGTTTTTGCATTGCATGTCAAAGTGCAGCTTAGGTCCTGTTTGCAGTTATGTCATGATGTGAAGAGTGTAAAAGCACATCCAGATGTGCTTCTGTGGATCTTCTGTCTCCAAATCTGAGGCATCCTTTTAACTCCTTTCAGTGCCATGTAAAATGGTGTAGATAAACCACAGCAGAAGTTGATTTTAACAAAGCAAATGAAGAGTGCATGTGCAGTACGTTGGTGGCGACTAGGAAGGCTGTTGCATCTCATTTTGAGGCCATAAGCTCACGAGATCTGTTTATTTTCTTGAAATCCTCCATCTGAATCTTTCACAGCATGATCATCTGCATCTCTAGATCAAAGTGACAGTGCCTTAGCTTTATTTGTCCCCTCCTACAGAGTAGAATAGCCTTCCTAAGAACATACAGTGAATGGCTGTCATAGTAGTCAAATACCTGCTATTATGACCCAATTTTTGTTTTTATCATTTCTCCTAAGCATTGCAAAATATGACTTTTAATTCTTTCTGTATGAAGTAATAGAAGAATTATGGAAAGACCCAACCACTGAGTTCCAAAACACTCTTTAAAGAATACTGTAGGAAGAAAAGGAGACAAGTATATGATGTATGAGGAGGAGAAGAATGTGAGTGAAAACGTAAGACTTGAACCAGTAGACAGTTCTAAATACTGCAGGCTTAAACTCTGTCCAAAGTGCTCTGTTTATAGAATGCATCTTGAAGAGCAGAAGGAGAAATGCTCAGCACAAGGACCTATGTACTTGGTGATGTCCAGAGCACATGTACATTGTGTTACCTTTGTGAACATAAATCATTTCGTTAATAGTTGTATGAATTACAGTACAGGCCGCATGTAATACTAACGGTGTTAGGAGTAACAGTTTGAGGTTTATTTAGTGTAACCTGTGCCAAAAAGAAGTCTTGCTGGTAAGGTTAGCTATACTGTTCACTGAGTGGAAGTTAAAAGCCGTAGTAATTGTAATTAGCTTTAATTGAAGACTTCTTACAGGAGACAGCTCTCTGCTCTTCCTTTCCTCTCCTTCCACTCACCACCTTCCAAGGAATTTCTTCCCTCTCCTAATCCCCCTGAGCCCCAGCTGCTAATTATTTGAGATTTGCCTTGTTGGACTTCCTGATGAAGCTGTGGCCTTTCAGCAATGAGCAAGGAAAAGCTGAAGGACAAAGTGAGGGCAGCGAATAAATCTACCTCTATCTCTAAATTAAGGTTAAGCCTCTTCAGTAAAGTCAACAGTTCAGATCAGGTTAAATTTAGCAATGCTTGTCCCATGCAGAACCAGTGCTGGCAGAGGACTTTTCACACACCACCTCGTTCCATGCCCCACCAAAAAGAGAAGGAAAAAAACCCAACTGTCTTAACACTGGCCATCTCTGTTAATACTGCTCATCTAGGAGGCAGATTCTGATTCTTTGGAACAGAGTGAGTCAGCAACAAAATACGTTTAAAATGAAAGTGAAAACAAAGGAACAACTTGCACAGGAATGACATAAATTCTTCGTAATCTTATGTGCTTTGTGCTGCATAGATCCCCAACTTAGCTGTTGTAGGCAGTGTGGTTTTGAAGCGTGCTCCACTTGTTTTTAGAGGAAGCAGTGCCAAGTTCAGTGAGGTACTAAAAGTATTTGTGCAAGTTTACAGAGTCTGTGGTGTTCTTTTCTGAAGCAACTGTTAGATGCTGTAATTAACCCATTCTCTTTACTTGGCATTTGCTAAAAAAATACAAGAAAACTGTAATGTGTTTGGTTTCTTGCTAGTCTGCAAAGGGACTAGAGTTAGGGAACAGGAGGAAATCACACAGCTTCACTGCCCTGACACCTTTACGTGCATAAGGAAACTGAGACACCTTACCCTTTGAAAAGACAGGACAGCACATACCTGGACAGGCTGTCAAACCTGTGGCTCAGGTTGTTCTGTTAAGACTTGGGCACCTGTGAGACCTCTGTGGGGTTGCCTCTCCTGTGGCTGCAGGCAGGTTAAGTTGATTTAAGGCTCAGTATCTGTTTCCATTGAGAGTTTCCTGTCAGTGTCTAGTGTTAGGTTTGTTATGTAAGTGGGAGTATGCCTGTATGTTGGTCATCAAGGATTTGTTTTGCAAGTTTGTCTTGTGAGTCTCTTGCTGACCTTTTTGTAAATTGATCTCTGAAATGGAGGGGAGCTGTCAGGATGCTCTCCTGGCAGGAGCAACCTATCCATGGCTGTGGCAGCATTTCTAATACCTAATTCCTGCGTTCGTGATGGTTTGAATGTTCTTCTAGCATCAGTTGGATCTTGATACATCTTGGCATGCTCTTCTTTTATGATTACTTACCAACACTGGTATTATTTATTGGTTGCATAATTAACAAAAAGATTGGCGATTGCTGTATATGAGTGAGTAACTTCAGTAATATTTTCAGTCAAAATTTGCACATGAAAAGGTTGAGGTTGTGTATTCTTTTCAAGGTTTCTCAGTTGCAAATCTTGCAGTGTTAATTTCTTTAATGTGTTTGAGTGATGTCAAGAAGTATATAAGATTGTTTCTGTTTGCAGTGCAATCTTCTGCATAGGCATTAGTGTCTCCACTAGAGAAGGCCATTGTGCTACAGTCTTCTGATATTTCCACTTAAAACAAGTTGCAGTTCAGTGTGACATTGGAGTCCTAGCAAAGAGTTTGCATCTTGGTGAAAGGGAACAGTAGGACTTTAGGCCACCTTTGCATGTCTCTCATTTTGGTTATGCTAGAAGCTGTGTACTGTCATCACTGAAGCTATTCCCTAGCTTAATGTGTGGGTTGTTATAGGCCCTGGGTTATCATCTATAACCTCATACAGGCAGCTAGCCCCAGAATTTGCCTCAGTGTGTCCTGTGAAAAGAGTCTTCTAGCTGTCTTGTGTGCTAGGGACCTCTTCCGTGGCGCCCTCTGCTCAGAAGTAACTTAGGAGGACTCTCTTCACTTCCGTTCTGTCATTTTACATGGCTAAAAGAACTAAGATTTTTTTTTTTAGAGAAAGTACAAATTTCCTTTTTTCATCTTGGGGTGTTTTTTGAGTGGGAGAAGACCAAAACCTTAGACCAAAAGTTGCTTTCGAGGGGTGGGAGATAATGTGAATTGGACAGGTGAATTGGGAGACTTCAGTCTTGCAGAGATTCAGCATATCTTGGCATGTTAAATACTCTTGACTCTACCGGTATCACTTCTCATTTGTAACTGCCTGCCCATTATTCATGGTATACCTAATAAATATGCACAATAGAAAGCATTTCACTGAAAGCATCTTGTTACTATGACAGATTATGTGTTTTGCTTTGTCAGAAAACTCTACAAGCGTTATGCATTCCTCCGCTGTGATGATGAGAAAGAACAATTCTTATATCATCTCCTGTCATTCAATGCTGTTGATTACTTTTGCTTTACCAATGTTTTCACAACAATCTGTAAGTATTTCCCTGGAACTCTGGTTTCCAGATTTGGTTGAGTCCTTATCCAAATTCTAAACAGCTCTGAGCAACATGCCTTAATGTAATTGTTCTGCTTTTTTTCCTGGGATCCGTCTGTGTATGCTGTATCGCTGTTTCCGTGATCCTCTCTGATGGGCAGGAGTGTCTGTCTCTGTCACTAAAGGCTTTTATTTCTCACTTGGTAAAATATGCAGCTTTAATCCTTTTAATTGGGGGAGAGTTTTCAAGAGAAAATTTTGTGATGGACATGTTTGCATGATGCTAAGCAAGAACAGTATAGATTGTTCATTATCAAGGTAAGAATTTTAACACTTGCTAGGAACTAAAACAAACTTTTCCTGTTTCATGCTCGACCTGCTTTGCTGCATGCCTGTCTCTGAGTTTGGGATAACGATGGAATGCCCGTTGAGGGCTACATCAGAACTCCTCAACACGTTGAATTCCTCCATTTTTTTGTTCTTCTGTTTTTCAAAAAGATGCCCTGGATAAACTTTTAAGCTGTTGTTGGCACTTAAATGTGTTACAGAGTTTTCAGTGATTTGTGTGCCTCCTGTCACAGGACGTCACTGGCAAGGAAAAATAGAGAAAGACTTCAGCAAGGCTAATAAAATTGGGGGTGAGGGTGTGTGCAAAGGGCCCCCATGGCCCCAGAGTAGGAGCTACCCGTGGTGGTATGTTGTGATCCATATTTGTGTGTATGAAAACAAACACAAGTCTAAGCAAAATAGCTTTTGGACTTGTGGGCATGTTCTGCGTAATGTAAAATCTGGTCTGTTGTATGCAGTTAAATTGTCACTTACTTGAAGACTATCAGCACAGAAAATAAAAATGGAAACATTTTAATTCATTCTTAAATGCTATGAGCATCGAGCTTTTAAGAAAATCTAACTACCAAATGCTTTCTTGAGGGCACTGACAGCTGAGATGACATTGAGGGAGGAATGTATTAAATGCCTCAGCTGAAAAGCCCTGACTGTAATCCCTTTATGCACTACTGAAGAAGGGCAGACGGCCAAGAAACACAGTGAGCATTCAGAGAACTGGGTTTTCTTATAAAAGTTTGGTTAACAGGCTGTGCAGGAGATGTTAGGCAGTGCAAGAGCACAGTCATTTCTTCAGGAGCACATACATCCAGAACCAGAGATGGGGCTGCAGCTCAGGTGATACTTATTGAATTAGTCACAGGTAAAAGAGGGGACCAGAAACCCTTGGAGTACATGTGTGGTGCTATTTAAAAGGGAAAAAGTGGTTTGTTCTCTTTAAAAACCAAGCAGTCTTAAAGTTAGCATAATGAAGAGCGACACGGTACAGAGAAACTTGCAGCATTATATTGTATTTTTGCTGAATTTGGTCAGCCACAGTGGTGGATGCTGCTGCAAGCAAGGCCTGCAGCCAAAGGCCTCAGTCAGAGGGTGAGTGGGAGCTGGGGGCAGCTGTGCAGTGTCTGTGTGCAGACCCCCAGGCAGTTAGGTGAGCACCGCGTGGTGTGCTGAGCTATGGGGCAGTCCTGGATAAAGGAATAGTGCCTTGTCTCGAAGCCGAGGACGAGTAACCGTCTGCGTGACATGTTTTGAGGCTGGTAAATGAAAAATGATTATACCCTTATGAAGGCGTATTCCATCCATATTTCGTTTTTCACTTGACAGTCTTTTGCTGTCAACTCTGCTTTTTAGTGACTGCTGTATATGTGTATACTTCTCCATTGTCAATCAGTGCTTAGTGTGCATATGTTAGCCTGATTAAATAGCAGCTCTGATGTTGGTTTAACATTTCATGGTACTGCAATATTGTTTTATGACTTGACTTTTGCCCTTCTCTTCACTAAAAGAGGTTAGATAATTATCCTTCTTTGTTTTTGAAGTGTTGTATCTTCTTGTGTTTGCAGTGATACCATACCATATATTGATTGTTCCTAGCAAGAAACTTGGTGGCTCAATGTTCACAGCCAATCCTTGGATCTGTATCTCAGGGGAACTGGGTGAGACAGGAGTCCTGCAGATTCCCAGGAATATATTAGAAATGACTTTTGAGGTTTGTATTACTTGATACAAAAAATGATTTGGATGTTTTGTTTGTTCAATTTTAACTTTTCCCCTAGGTGTAGCACCTTGTCATGCATTCCATATCTTCAGTCTGTGTGGTTAGTGACAGAAACTTCTGTGCCTGCACAGAGTAAATTTATCCTATGTTTAGTAACACGCAGGCAAAAATGACTGACAGGTCCTTAGTGCAAGGATGGACAAGGCTGTCTTTATGTTATGACTGCTGTGATGGTGGGAGGTGTCCTATCCTCTTCCATTGGAAAGAGAGCAGTGATTCTGCTCTGGTTTTTGTGCGTGTGCACTGGGTATAATTTAATAGAAAAAATCAAGTTCAGCTGATCTTCTCTGTGCTGGTTAAAATAGTATTTAACAAAACAAAGCAAGCAAACAAAACCAAGTAAAGCAGCCTACTACTAAAAGCCCAGAATCAGTCATGCAGTCAGAAGCCAGGAACCACATTTCTGTCTGAACACCTTCTCTAATAGTTCACTCCTCCAGTGTGCTGCTTTCAGTTTACTCTGACAAACTCTTTGTTTAATTTGCAGTGCCAGAACCTGGGAAAACTGACCACGGTGCAAATAGGACATGATAATTCAGGGCTGTATGCCAAGTGGCTCGTGGAATATGTTATGGTCAGAAATGAAATCACAGGGCATACTTACAAGTAAGTATCACTCTGACATTTCATGTTGGGTAAGTAGAATTTCTGCAGGGAGCTGGCACAGTAGAGCTTGTTTGATTAGAAAGGTCTGATCTCCTGGGACTCTACAGTTGCTGCTCTCTGGTAGCTTAGAAGGTCGTTTGGCTTCTGGCATTAAACAAGTCATGGTTCTTACAAAATTAAACAGGGTTTTCAGTTTGCAGATGCTCATGTCTAGCCTGACACTGTTGATGGAGAAGATGAGTTGACTATTGTGCATCTTAAAAATAATCTGCCTTGAGCCCAAGAAAGAAATAGCAAATCAGAGCTTGCTGCTTACCAGATGTAGGTGGTATTTGATGTTAGGACTTAGTGCTCTAGGTGTTACAGACACACCTTTGGACACCAGCTGGAACATAAGAGCTTACGAGCGTAGAAACATATGTTTGCATAGTGTAAGTAAAGGAATGAGATTTACAGTGAGAATTAAATGTATCCGTGTTAGGTACAGCCTAGTTTGATGCCCTGTCCTTTGTTTAGAGAAACTGTAAGGCACATGTTGATGACAAATTGGCAGGGAAGGCCACTCAGCTCTCCATGCCCGTTCATTTGGAATTAAGTGAAAAGGGAAGATTCTGGTTTTGGATGCTGTTCAGTTTTCCAATTAAGCTGATTAAACTGACATCAACATTGGTTCAGAGAAAGTGATAATGAGCAACTGAGCCAGGTGTGTTTTGTAGTGTCTGATTTAATATCCTAGTTCAATAGAACTATTGGTGTTTCGGCATTTAAGTATATGTTTGGGTTATGTTTATGGTTTTTTTTTGTGGTTGACCTCCTGTGTAGTGTATTCAATGAAAGCATAGGTGGATTTCATCACCAATCTAAGGGATGTAGTGGGTCTTCCCTTCTACATCTCTTTCCTCTGCAGCCCTCAAGTAATGTGTTACATGTAGGAGTCAAGCAAAACCTGCCCGTTTGCTTTGCAGATCATCTAGTGCAACATTTAGCACAAATTTGGAACTGAAAAGCTGTTTTGCTGCCTCTGCTGGCAAAAGCCGAACCAAATACTTTATTTATTGCTAGAAGAATGAAGTATTTCTAATAATTATACTAGAGGGATTTGTGTTGTAGGCAACTTCAATTGGAAAATCTTTGGCATGGAATTGAATCTGGGTTGATCCACATGTCTCCTTGATGCTCTTAGGTTTCCCTGTGGAAGGTGGCTTGGGAAGGGAATGGATGACGGCAGTTTAGAGAGGATTCTGGTGGGAGAGTTGCTGACTTCCCACACCGAGGCTGACGAGCGGCAGAGCCGAACCCCTCCGCTGCAGCAGTCCCCAAGCATGATCAGAAGATTTGTCACTATATCACCAAGCAATAAGCCAAGTGAGTGGTGGGGATTGTCTTGTCTTGTACTCTTCTGCATCATTGCCTGAGAGCAGCTACTTGCAAATAGAACTGTAGGTTTTCTTGTCTTTTAGAACTGCAGCTTGGAGAGGACCTGTGAAACTCTCTTAGCTCAACACCCTGCTCAAAGTCCAACTAACTTCCAAATTACAATCCTGAGCAACCTATTCTATCTGCTCAAGTTTTGAAAGTCTTCAAGGATGGAAGGAAGGTGTCTCTGGCCTCCTGGTCTAGTGCTTAGCTGCCCTGCTGGTGTTTTCTGTATTTTTGTCCTTCATCTGTGGAATGAATGCTATGGAGGAAGGTAGAAATTCACTGCCCTGTCTCTGTCTGTCCGTCAGGGATGGAAAAGCTGCCTAGTGGTTTACCTTCATAGGCTTTCCGCTTGTCGTTGTGTTAAAGAGCCACAGTGTTAACTTCAGTATAAACCCAAACCGTCTCCGTTTCTGCCTCCTCAACAGTAAATAAAAGTAGAGTTGGATTTCCACTACCCACAGTCCAGGACTCTTTCACTAGCAGTATGAGTTATACTGGCTCTCCTATACGTTGTGGTATGCATTGTCCCTCATGCACGTTTACAATTTCTGAAGCTGTAACAAAGTGACTGGATATATTTTTGTGTCTTGCAGAGTTAAATACTGGTCAGATACAAGAAGCTATTGGTGAAGCTGTTAATGGTATTGTCAAGCATTTCCACAAGCCAGAGAAGGAGGTGAGGAGTTGTTTGCTGTGTAATGGCCCTCCTGTCTTAAAACTCTTATTAGTAAGCACTGGAGAATACGTAGCAGAAATGCCTAAACTGAATGAACAGCCATGTGCTTGAAAATTCATTCAGCAGAGCAAAAATTAGATACTGATACTACAGTGATGAGATAGCATGGCATCAAATACCTCTGTTTTGCTGCTAACTGAAGCATTCTATTAAATTAAGTGCTAACAGTCTGGTATTGGAAATGGTGTTTTTAGTCAAATTCTGCCAAGGATTCTACCTGTGCCAATGTCAAGAATAATGCCTTCTGTTCAGTTTGTTCTGAATTAACTGACGGTTTACATCTGTGCTGAGTTCTGAGTGGGTTTTTAATGTCTGTTTTGCATTCTTTGCTACTTAAAACATGAAAAGCTGTGGACCACTTTAGAAAAAAAAGAAAAGCAGCATAGAAGACCTCCCTGTAAACACCCCCATCCCCATGCAAGTGAAGCAGAGTGCTCTGAAAGACTCTGGTACACTTCTGCATTACACATGGAATCAGCTGATACAGCAGTGACTTTCTTAAGCAAACCTAAGCAGCATTGCCTTTGTCAAACAAGCACAGTCCAGCCATGGTGAGCCGCAGTGGTGCAGAGCAGTGGTGGCTCCGTGTGGATGGCTCTTGAAAGTCATTCATTTCTTACAGATAGGTCCTCCCATTCCTACTGCACATATCTTCTAAGTTCAGCATGGCATAACAGATTCGCATACAGTATAATTCTGGTCAGTGATCACATTGACACAATAATCTCAAGTGGTTATGCATAATAGAATTTGCTATCATGTTCTAAAGAAGAATTTTTGTTTTCTTCCTAGCAAACAATCAGAGGCACCTGCTATGGTGGATCTGTGATCTTTATTGCTTAAGAAAGAGGAAAATGTTTTATTGATTTTCTGTACAGTGGCCATTATTATAGGTAAACCCTGCTCATTGTCTTGGCCTTTTTGAGGCCTCATTTGATGATAACGAGGCCCTGACAACTGCTTTCTTCAGCCTCATTCTTAGGGAGCTCAGTACGTTTTTGAATGTTCGGGACTTGTGAGAACTGGATAGTCCTGTCTGGGATCACTGTTTGACAGCAGACTGTACCTTTAGGCATCTGTTTATTTATAAGCTTGATAGACTGCATGAGACACTTGTGTTCTAGACTTCCAAACTGAGGTAATAAGTGTGTGTGCTTTCTGTGTGTGCCTGGCAGAGAGGCAGTCTGACGCTGCTGCTGTGTGGAGAAAATGGACTTGTTTCAGCTTTGGAACAAGTGTTTCAGCATGGATTTAAGTCACCAAGACTCTTCAAAAACGTCTTTATTTGGGATTTTTTAGGTAAGTGGGAGGAAGACATACCAGAGCCTGCTTGTATCTTTGAAATGCATCCATCTGTTTTCCTTATCATTGCTGCTGTGTGTCAGCTGGTGTGAACAGCATACTTGGAGGCATCTCAGCAGCTGAATTGCTAGAAGAGCTCTTACCTTCTCATGCTGTTGAGGGGAAAAAAGCCTCTTGTCTTCTGCCAAAGCTGGCTCTGTACTTAATGTAGTAACTGGACTTTGTCCTTCTAGCACTAATAGTGTAAACCAAACTTTCTTAGTGAGGAAGAGTTATTTATATAAGTTGGTGAATTGATGTATGGTAACCTTGTTCATAATTGAGCATAGTGAAAACAATAAATCACACTTCTAAGAGGCTGAGTTGCCTTACAGAGCACAACAGATGGATCGAGTGCTGTTGATACTTCCTGGACATTGTAATAAAGGGGTTATGAGCATACATTTTTCAGAGTGGTCTAGGTCCTTTGACATAGAGCTGAAAAATCAACTGACATCACAAACATCTTTTCTAAAAGGAATTCTTTCTAATAGTGCTTCTGTGTTTTGAGTAGGTGCTTTGGCATCACTGTGCTCCTTATACGATCGTTTTGCTGAAGCACTCAGAATTCAGGAGATACATGTACCTCTTTAGCACCACTTAGAGGGAAGGAAGTGGAATCCCAGTTTTGCACAGGGGGAACACAAGACAGAATCAAACAGAAAAAAGCAATGCCTAAATGTCATTATTCAGGAAATTCATGGATGAGCTATGAATCTAGGGCTTTCAACTTTAACTTTCTCCTATATGCACTGATAACACTTCATTTACTCCCACCATTCTTTTAAGAAAAAGCACAAACATACTATGAGACCCTTGAGCAGAATGAGATGGTCCCAGAAGAGAACTGGCAGACAAGGGCCAGGAATTTCTGTTGCTTTATCACTGCTATCAACAACACCCCTAGAAACATTGGGAAAGATGGCAAGTTTCAGATGCTGGTGTGTCTTGGAGCCAGGTATGAGGAATCTTCTTAATTATTGTTGTTGGTATTATTATTATTGATATTTTAACAGAACGAAAAGGATGTTGCATATTAGTAAGACAAAGGCATGTAACTGCTGGGTTGTGCAGTTTGACTATTCCTTCTAACAGTCTTTGCTGTAACTAGGGAAGGATCAAGTGAATCACGCCCTGAGTTCTTAGGTATGTGAAGTGTGGGAAATCTGAGGTACAGAACTGCATACCCAAAGAGCTGAGCAGCTGAATCAAGAGAGAAAGATAGTAGGCTGGTGTGAACAGTCTCCCTCCTGTGTACAGCTAGTGTAATCAGAACACTGAGTCAGAAAACCACCCATCAGTGAGGCCTCTCCAGTTAATGGTTGGGTGAATTCCCCACCTTCCATCTACTCATTGTAGGAGATGGGTGGGAGAGAAACTGGGACCATCTAAAAGCCTCTTGACACAAAGGCAATGGAGCGGGCTAGTGACTTTGGGTCTGCTTGGGACTTCTAGTTCTCTTGGGAACTGTATCTTTTGATGTGAGGGGTGGAAAGCCTAGAAACATGTCTGTCGTGGATGCTCCCTACTTAAACAAGTTCCACAGACAGTTACTCCCCCTTCCCTTGTCTTACAAAACTGAGTGGAGGAGGTGGTAGGTCTGATTAGAAAGCAAAGAATAAAAATCATGCCTGTGCAGATGCTGGATTAACTTGGCTTTATTTTTATTTCCAAACTGCAAATTGCTACCTTGTCAGAGACCACCTTTTGCATCACTGGATCGCCCTGCTTGCAGACTGCCCCATTACAGCACAGATGTATGAAGACATAGCACTCATCAAGGATCATACGCTGGTGAATTCTTTGATTCGAGTGCTGCAGACCTTGCAGGAGTTCAACATCACGCTGGAGGCATCTCTTGTCAAAGGAATTGACATCTGACCTCTTGTCCCCCAGGAAAAACTAACTTTACAAAAAAACAAAAAAGCAACAAGCAGTGAATCTCATTAGTATGCAAAAGTTCTGTCTTGCCAGTACGTTGTATCGTGAACTTGTTCATGGCCCAAAAATGCAACTTTGACTTTTCTTGAAGGAAACTCCAAAAGTAGTACAGGCAAATGGATAGAAGCTGTAAACTCAATGTAAAAAAGAGGATTTTGGTATAAATCTATTTTAGAGTTTATTTGCTGATTTGCTTTTTACACACTTTCATGTGAAAGAGATAGAGATGAGTATTGTGCAGCTTATTTTAAAGCTGCAGTATTTCCTTGCCATAGAAAATGTGCAGTGAGCCTTTCAGCATTCTGTGAACTTGCTTTCAGATATGCTGTATGTCATAGACCCCAATGTATACACTCCATTTCTGCTGAGAAGGTCATTCTATAGTTTTTAAACTAATATTTTATATATTAACATTATTACCAATGTTTGATTTTTAATGTATTTGGTCATGTTCTGCTGCAAGGGAGCTACAAATCTGATGTGTGCTTTTTTTTTTTTTTAATAGCTCCAAGCACTGATTTGTAAACAATTTTTTTTCCCTTTATTTTTGTTGTCAGTATTACTTTCAGTGAAATCCAGGAGACTGAATCGTGAAATGTCCAGAGAGCATAGTCATATTTTTCATATTGGTACGTAATTGCACAGAGGGAGAAATTAAGCCTGTTTTTTAACTGATTTCTCTTTTATTTATTTAACCTATTGTTGTGTTTTGTGTCTTTAAAAAACAAATCTTCTATTATACAACTGGCTATATTATGTTGCAACTCAGAATTTACAGTGCAGCCCACTTAAATGAAAAACCTGGAATAATGGTTCATAACACAGATATATTTCCACTTGAACCAGCCTTTTGAAGTTTAATATATGGTTGCTGCTGGTAATTCTTTTGACTGCTAACCAAGAGGGACATGGGTTCCCCAAGTGCCAGATGACTAGATCAAGATGTTTATGCCCCCTTGAAATAATAATGGTATACCTTACTAACAAATATAAGGATTTCTTAATGTTTCTGAGAAGACAGTGAGTATTAAGGTTATTTTCTTTTCCTTTTGAATACATATGTCTTGGATCCTGTTTTCACAGTCTGTTTCATTTGGGATGCTTTTGTTTTTAGCAGAGAAAGCTGTAGTCCATTTCTAGTATAACACATAAACATTTTGAAAGCTTAATTTATTGGAGATCTGGAACTTGGCAAATGCCTAAAGGTATCTCTGTTCATTTGAATCCTCTGATAAAAATCTCTTTGAAATGAATATGTGACCTAACAACAGGCTGATTTATCACCATCACAAATTACTGTACAGATGTTCAGGGCTGTGTATTTAAGAGGTCTCCGCTGTATAAACTTATCTCAGTATTGTCTCTCTTTTGAGAAGCAGAGTCCAAGTTTTTGGTTCATACAATATTGTAGCACTTTTTCTTTACCTGCAGCTTAGTCACTTCTTGTGATAGTTTTATTTCCCTAATTTATGAGTGTAGCACATGTATTAAATTTTTGACTATTTTTACTTTTGTCCTATTTATTTCATTATTAAATGGAGAAGTTTCGTTGTCACTACTTACCAGAGCAAGATTGTTCTTTGATGTCACAGTAGCATCAGGAGGATGTGAGAACAATGTCCAAGCCCGTCCTCATGCTGGGTGGATGTGAATTCTTTCACAGCATGGAGCTTACAGGAGCATTTCATGGAAGTATTTTGTTGTGTGCAGGTTTGGGTTTGTTGTTTGTTCGGGGTTGTTTTTCCCCAGCTCTGGAAGGGGAAAAATAAAACAGTTGTAGTTCATTACTTCATTCTAAGAATTTCATGTATTCAGCTTAATATGTTGGGATAGCCTTTATACACTTGCCCCAAATTGCTTGTTTATGTATTAATCATAGCAAAACACTCCATTTTACAGTGCTTTCAGCTATCTCTAAGATGACTTTACTAGGCCTGTAAAAGGAGGGTTCAATATTTTGACCTTATTAGATTAGTTGACCCTGTTAAAACCATATATCTCATAGTATTAAGTATGGATTAATTTTCTCTCGCATGAGGTAATTACCCTGAATTAAGGTTCTTTTTTTTTTCCTCTTTACACAAGTTCGTGCAGTGTGACATGGTACTTGTGGTTTAATGGCTGTTTTGGTGTGGGTCCTTTGGCCTCATGACAGCTATGCCTGGGATGGACAGAGGCTGGGGTTTGCTGGTTCCCAGGTGGTGGTTCCTTGGCTAGCTCATGAGGATGAAGCTGTCCATCAGTGGCAGCACCCTGTGTGCTGGCTGTCCAGGTGCAAAAGGAAGACACAGAGGTCATCTTCCCAGCTCCTCAGTTACTTTTATTTTCACAGGAAAAACCACTTTGAGATAGACCCTTCTCCTTCTCTCACAGGGGACCTATGCTTAATCCTGTTAGGATTCAAAGCACTTTTTGCTATGGACTTCTAAGTCTGAAAGGATTTGCTCCCCTGAAGGCCCAGTAGAAGGTTCTGAAATGCAGCAGAATAAAAGCTGGTTTTGTTGGATCCAGAGGCAACCAAGGAAGTCTGAGGTATTAAACACACATTGCTATGTGGTAGTTTGTGGTAGGTTTTTGGGAAGAGATTTGGCTGGCATGTGTAAGAACAGTCCAGTCTGTAGTAGCAACCATAATCCCTACCACTCTTTAGTGTTTGCCACAAACCAACTTACTTCTTTCATGAATGTTCCTAGCATCAGTCGCATGGAATAAGGTTAAGATGCAGCATTTGCTTTTTCCGTGCCATTCTGCTGAACTAGGTGACTGGTGTAGTCAGCAGAGCTCATAAACTAGAGCTCATAAAATCCATCTCCCTTTGTTCAGAATAATGCAGTTGTAACATTTTTGCCCTGTACTTTTCTAAACCAAGGAGACAGGTTTGGTAGGTGCAGGTTAATGTGGCTGTGCTGTTCAGTTGTTTGGTGTGGATCTTTTGGTAACAGTTAACTGGGAAAAGATGATAATTTTTTTTTAACAGCACACATGCATTTTCTAGAGAGAAATATAATGATGAAAGATAAGCAGTTCATACTGCAGTAAATATATAGTGCTAAATTGGCCAGACATTTACAGGCTCATACCTGATCTGAGGGGGGGGGGGAAAACCCAAGGCTATCACCTATCAGTTATTTATGCTTCTTTGATTAATGCTGTCAGAGTACATACAATGATACTTTATACAAAAAGAAAATGCAAATGAATACAGACTTGATTTAAATGTAGTGAAATACTCTGATGATAAGTTTATACAAAAAAAAGCCTTTACCTGCCATAACCTGAACCACATTCTGTGGCTGAAAACATACTCATGAATTGAAGACTATTTGGCAACTTTTTCCATTATAAAACATATTTTTCAAATTGTTCAAATGAGATGTACTGGCTGGATGATCCATACTTTTTGTGTGTTTTGAATTCATGAATAAGTTAAGATTTCTGCAGTGAAACTATTCAGAGTTTACTTTTTCTGTATATTGTCAAATGAATTTTGTCCGTAGTGAAGATACTATAGGATACTTGAAAATACTTGAGAATATTGTACACGTACTTCACATCTTTGTAGTTCTTTATTTTATACCTAGAGACTGGCTGTTAAACTAAGATAAAGCATCAATACCTTATAAACTATATATTTTGCTACATGGGGAAATCACTGGCTTGGTTTTTTAAGGCCATGTCAAAGTTTACATTATAATGACAAAACCAGGTACTGTTTTCCTTTATTTTTCCTGTGACATTTCAATCCATTGGACATTAAATGTGAATTGGATATACAAAGCAGTTTTACAGGTGTAGCTCATATGCTGAATTGCAATAAAATTTGTCTTCTAACATGAAAAAATAGCATTAATGTGCTATTTTCAAGACCTTGTTATTGTAATTTGGCTGATCAGCTGTTCTTATTTGCCTGAGTGCAGGTAGGTATGACATTTTAGTGTCTCTTTTCAGGAGAACTTTTTTGTACAGTTTTGTATGTGACCTGTTCAACTAAATGCCTGCCTCCTGCCCAGCACCAGTGTAGCCTTCTCACGAGCAATTGTTGGTCAGCCTGCGACCAGTGCAAAGATGCCTCCTCAGTCGTCAGGGAATGGGGAGAACAGGAAGGCAAAGGGACTAATGCAGATCTTGGAAGGTGTCTGTGAGTACATATATGTGTTATGTGCTGCCACTCGCTCTGTTTCAAACTGTATGAGTTCATCGTTGAATGTTTTATACCATCGGGGAAAACGTAGCAGGGAAGGAGCTTGATCATTAATTGGGAGGTATGTGTGTTCCTTCACGTCTCACACTCACCCTGTTCTCTGGTGGAGGCTTTTTTTAAGCAAAGCAAAATAAGACATGTTAATAATCTATCCTGTGGGAGCCACTTCAGGCTTCCTGAGCTGACAGTGGCTCTGCACTGCTAGCAACTGATGGTGTCATCCTGTGGGCTGTCTGGGGAGATGCTGAGAGTGTGAACACGGCCTGACCCATGCTCTTGTGACATGGTACTCATAGCCTTATCCTTGGACAGGTTTGGGGGTACAGTCATGAACTTGGTACCTGCTGCCAGGAGTGCCAAGCCTGTGTGAGGTGCCAAACCTGCCTCTTGGAAACTGAGACCATCTCAATTCCCTAGGCTTTTTAGACCTGCTGCTCCCAATTCCTCTGCAGGGCACTACAGGGCTGGATGTGGGACAGGCCCGGATGGAGCTGTGAGGTAAGCACAGCTTTGGATGCACATTCACTTCATCACAGGTCGGAAACACATTCACTTCATCACAGGTAACCTCGAGTCTTTCAGACTTCTTTGAGGGGAAAGGAGCAAAAACAACAGGGGCCTTGGTGGGCAAAGCATGTTGTGCAGCCACCTGCATTCACAGGCAGTGCTTGTCTGTTGACTACCTGGTTTCAGACACAAATCTGGAAATGTTATGATTTGTTGTAGTGATGACTTGGAAAGTTCTTGAAAAGGAATGCAAACATTTAGAAGTTATTTCAAATAGCAAAATGTCTCCTTTTTTGCCGTATTAACTCTATTCATTAATAGAACATACTGTATACAGTTCTACGATAAACAGGAACTGTCCTTCATTTCAGTGACAGTAACATTTTAAGATGCAGATCCTACAACATTTAAATTATCACCAGTGGATTTGATGTTTGCTTTGGGAAAGTTTTTCTACAAGTGGCATAAAAAGACTTATGCAAGGAGTCTAAATTACGTGAGAGGATCTTAGACTCCTTGTGACCAAAGAAACCTCAAATTTCCTCTGAGATAAGCCCTGTGCAGGTCCTTTTCCCAAGGAGAGCCACTGTTAAATTGCAAAAGAGAATCCTGATTACTGAAGAAGTGTTATTTCACATGGAATATAAGAACCTATTTGGGAGCTTGGAAAACCCTTGGATGCTAAGATGGGAAGTTTAAGAGCAAGAATT